CCCCCCACCCCCCACCCCGGGCGTCGCTCAAAGGCAGCCCCCTGTGCGCATGTGCCAGGAAGCCCCGCCCTCTCACTTCGGACCTGCCTCGGGGTACCAAACAGCCCCAAAGTCCCGCCCCACCCCGCGCCCCGCCCCTCAGCCCGGCCTCCTTTCCGCAGGTGCGCCCCCGGGAGTGCCCACCTGGGCACACGGCCTCCAGGTACCAAGTGGCGAGGCCGTAGAGCGCGGCATCGAACAGCAGGAGGCCTGAGACCTGGGCCAGGCTGAAGACGTCGGCCGTAGGCCCGGTGCCCATGTTGTGCCACCGCGCGCCCTCGCCCCGCTCCTCCAGCAGCGCCAGGCTCTCGCAGCCGAAGCCGAAGGCCACGGGCGACAGAAGGCTCTGTGGGTCGGGGCGGGTGGGTGAGCGAGCGAGCGCCGTGAGGGTGCCCCACACCACACCCCGCGCGGCCCGGCCAGGCTCTCACCGCGGCCACGCGGCCACCCACGGGCAGCTGGTCCCGCCAGGCCACGCACAGCACGTAGGGCAGATAGAGCACAAAGTAGGCGAGGCCCCCACAGGCGGCCGCCAGGTTGGCACGGGAGAAGAAGGCGCTCAGCAAGAAGCTCTGGACCACCGTGGCCACGGCGAAGGCCGCCAAGAACAGGAAGACCACGACCGGGTCGCTGTACGGGAGGATGTCCCCGAGCTGCGGAGGCAAAGGGAGCTGGGGTCGCACGCCCAGATTCACCCAGGGGCGCGCACCAACGCAAGGTGCCTCCTGCCCGCTACCCGCGCGCGCGCGCGCGCGCGCCCATTCTGCAGCCAGGAAGACCGAGGCACGCCCACCTTGAGCACCAGCAAGAGCAGCGCGGTGCTGAGGAGGAAAGGCCCGAGGCAGCTGAGGAACCAGCCGAGCCACAGCACGGCGCCGCTGAGCCCCATGGCGCGCATGGTGTACCGCAGCCGCGTCTCCTTCTCGCGCACCACGGCCTTCACCGTTAGCGCCACCGAGTAGATCCAGGCCAGCGTCAGGAAGAGCGGCAGGGACCGGCTCAGCACGCGCAGGAACCTGGGGGTCGGGGGCGGCAGAGGTTGGGGCGGAGACCCCGTGCAGCCCGCGTCTGGCACGACGGTTGGCACCCCGGGATCCCAAGACGCAGCCAGCCTTGGCCATTCGCCCTCCCTTATCCTCGGACCCCTGATCCGGCCTCGGGGTCCCTGCGGTCAGCACAGGCCACGTTCTCCTGCATCCGGAGACCCCAGACCCTGGGGGATCCCTGCTCGTCCCGCCCTGGGTCACAGGGTCTGCAGCCTCGACTACAGGGGCGTTCCCAAGGGAGTCGGGGTCCCACCCTGAGACCCGGGACGGGGCGGCCGGCTGCACGCGCGGGGAGGGAGGGGCGCTCACGCGTCGTCCACGTAGCACGGGTACGGCATCTGCTGCAGGTAGAGGCCGGCGCGGGGCGCGGCGCCACTGAGCACGCGCACGGCCGCGCGCTCCAGCAGGTCCTGCAGATACACGAAGCCGCCCCACACATAGCGCAGGTCGGTCAGGGGGTCAGCAGCCGGGCCGGGGTCCCAAAACCTGCAAGAGGCATGGTGGTCCGCACTGCAGGGAGCCCCAGGGACGTCCCAGACCCCGCCCACCGCAGCCTTAGCTCCGCCCTCACCCGCGGGCTCAATCACGCCCTCGGCCCCGCCCCTCATGCAAGCGAGGCCCCGCCCACCACGAACCCCAATTGGGCTAAGGAGTCCTGGGCTCCACCTACCATGGTCTCTGATAGGTGGAATGCCCCTGGCCCCGCCCCCAGAGGCCACGCCCACACACCCCCCCCCCCCCCCCACCTGTCTCTGATCTTATTGGTTTTCGTGACGTCGTCGATGTCCATGCGGATCTTGATGCGCACGTGGCCTGGGCCCGGCAGCGGCGCGGGGTCCGCGGGGTCCTCCGGCCCCAGGAAGACGACGCCTGCCCAGAAGCGGCGCTCATCCAGCAGCTCCAGGGCCCGCGCCACCAGGGCACCCTCCGAGGGCAGCGCCTCCAGCTTGTCCAGGGTCACGCACTGGGGAGGGGCCGAGGCGTGGGTCCGAGGTATCCGAGGCACCCGGGGCCTCCCCTGGACCTCGCGGCCCGGTCGTGCTTCCTCCTGGAAGCCCCTGGGTGGGGCGTCCTCCTCTATCAGACCCCCACAGGGCGTGCTGGCCCCCCACCACCCCAGTTTCCCAAGTGGACACCCCCTCACCTCCATCATAAGACCCAGCGCGCCCACCAGGCGCTCCACATCAGCGTGGGCGTCCTGCCAGCTGTAGTTGCCCCCACGGGGGTCGAGAAAGGCACGGAGGGCCTCGGCCCGGTCCTGGCCTCCAGGTCTTGGCTGCCTCCTTCCCATGTCTGGAATCTGGAGGAGCCTCTGGGAGGTGGCAGGGGAAGGTGGGATCCTGCACTGGGCATTCAGGGCCTTGTCACCCCGCTTCCCATCCGCGGGCCTGTCCTCACCAGGGATACTACACCCCACCTCCACATCCGGGCACAAGAGGCCCTGCCCTTTGCCCAAATCCTCGGCCAGGGAGGGCTGGGGACAAATCTGCCGCCTGCCGTCCTGGCCCCACCTGCAGGATGGCGACGTTGGCGCTGTCATTCAAGAAGCTGAAGAGCTCGGGGCCCAGCAGACCCCACACCTCCTGGACGTCCTTCAACAGAGCCAGCTCCTGGAAGGTCCGGTTTACCTGCGGGAGACGGACGCCAAGATCGAGGCCTGTTCACCACCCTCCCCTCCTCGGGGGACCCCCGCCCCTCTCTCCTGCCTCCTCCCCTTTGCTCCACATCCTGTGCCTCTGAGCGAGGGCACCTGCTGGTCCCTCTGCCTGCAGTCTGGCAAATTCTCACCTCTTCAACACTCTGCTTCCACGGGCCACCCCAGGGAGCCTCCCGGGGCCCGGCCCCCCTCCAGCCTGGTCCTCATCCACCTGGGCTCAGGGAGGGACCCTGCCACCCACCCTCACCTGGGCCATGAGCTCCCGGGTGAACGGTGTGTCAGGTGCAAACAGCAGTTTCCCGAGGAGCAGCGGCTTCACGCGCCTCCAGAGCAGGCGGGACAAAGGGTGGGTGTCCAGGGCCCCCACCAGTTCAGCGCAGGCGGGGCCTGGGGCGGGGGCGCCATGAGTCCCTGCCCCCGTGCGCACCACCCCACTTCCCGCCCTGGGAACCCGAGGTCAGTCGCTTACTCAGGCTGCTGTCCTGTAGGGCCGGCCTCGGCTCCTGCCCCACGAACTCCTTCAGGTCGCTGGATTTGTACCAGTTGAGGGAGAGGCCCCCAGGGACGCTGGGCCCCCTGGCACTGCAGAGGGCTTCTGACACCGCTTCCAGGGGGCCGCCTGTCCCCCGGAGCCTCTGCAGCAGCCCCCGCAGCTCCGCCAGGCTGGGCAGCGCCAGGAGCTGGAGGGAGGTCACCAGAGGGCGCTGGCCGTCCTCCCTCCCTCCACGTCCTACGGCCAAGCCTTAACCGGGACAGAGCACCCCTCCAGGAGCACGGTGTCCCTCCCTTTCTGCCCAAGTCCCCCCCAAAACCTACCCCAGGAAGTGTCGGGGTGCCCTGTCACCTCCCCATCCAGGCAGCAGACCCTCATGGGGTCAGGCTGGGGTTGGGGATGGGGGCCTCTTACCTCCTGGGCCAGGTCCTCTGCTGCGTCCAGGAAGCTGCCCACAGACTCCTGGGCTTGGCGCAGCTCGGACCCCAAGAATTCCTGGGGAGAAAAAGGACAAGGGTGACAACGACCTTGACTGAGGTCTCTCTAGGGGTCAACCACTTTGCCAAGCCCCGGGAGGTCCCTGCCATCATAGACCCCATTCGACAAATAGGGAAACCGAGGCGGCAAGAGGCACGTGGACCCGTTCGAGGCCTCACGGGCCGGAGTCTTCGCCACCACACCAGACGTGGCCTCTCTGGGCACCGGAAGGATGGTGTCCCTCCAGGCGCCTGGGACAGCCCAGACAAAGGCCCGGAGGTTGGACTCAGAGGCCTGGGAGGGAGGTGCCCGGCCCAGGGTGGAGCAGTGCCCAGACTTCCTGAGAGCAGTCCCAGAGTCGGCCTGGTCTCGCCCTGCCCCACCTCACCCCTCCAAACAGTGTCCCCAGCAGCTCAGTGGCCAGGGACGGTCCCTCCTGCGGCCGGTCAGTTGGCTGAGTCCCGGCTGGGGGAGGAATTCGTGGAAAGCACAGTTAGGCAGAGCTTGGCCGGTGACACCCCCCCCCGCCCCCCACGCCCATTTCACAGCCAGGCAGGTCGAGGCTCCGAGGACCCCACCTCTCACCTGCTCTGCGAGCCGCCCTCAGTGTGGGCATCAGCTTCCCCAGGCCGGCCAGCATCCTGTGGGCCCTGGGGCCCCCCAGCACAGTGCGGGCATCAGCCAGGAGCCGGGAGACCCTGGGGAGAGAGAGAGGCCAGGAGGTTGGGGGCTGGCGGGCACCCCCCTCTCCCACGGCCCCCCACGGCCCCCCACTGCCCGCTCACAGGGAGTCGTTGAAGTTGCTCAGGACGCCGGGCTCCTCGCCGGGCGTGGGCTGCGGGAAGCACGTGTTGTTCATGTTGCAGATAAGGCCCTGGAGCCACGGCACGGTGCCCGCCGAGGGCAGTGGCTTGTTGGGGAAATGGCCTGTGGGGGCCGGGCACCTGTCTGAGTCCCCACGGGGATCACACCCTCCCTCGGCAGAGCGCCCACCCTCAGCCCTGTCTTGGGTGCCGGGTCCACGCTCCCTCCCTGCTGCTCGCTGGGGCGCTGTGGACCGGGTGACCTCCTGTCACCCCGGCCCCACACACAGAGTTGCCTGGACCCTGGTGGTGGTGGTGGTGGGGGGGGGGTCTTACATTCGTGCTGTTCCAATGGGGGGTGGGAATGGCGGACGGCCACCAGGATGAAGAAGAGAAAGAGAGGCCACAGCAACTCCACCAAGAGCTGGATCTGGGGGTGCAGAGCAGGCGGGGGTAGTGGGGACAGCGGGGGACGCCTGGGCCGCCCCGCCCTGGTCCGCCCGCCCAGGCATTACCGGCTGTCTCCTGCGATAAAGGAAATTCTTCCAAAGCAGCAGCATTAGCTGCGTCCCGAAGGCCATGGTGGGAATGGACAGGGGACAGGGGACAGGACGGAGGGGTCAGGCTGAGGACGTGCTGTGTGGCTGCGGGCAACTCCCTGTCCGTCTCTGAACGTCATTCCTCTATCCCATCGCGCAGGGTTCCTGGAAGCTCTGTCTAGACCCAGGCAGATAGTGGGCACTTATTAAAGGGACTCCCTCCCCCAGGGGTGGAGTGAGCCAATGGGAGCCCGGCCCGTAGCCATCCTCGCATCCGATTGGTTGCCAGGGCTGTCGCTCCCTGCAGGGCAGTGGCTGGGGTCCCAAAGGCTATCAACTAATTCTTCAGGGGGCGGAGCCTCGGCTTAACCCCTTCATCACCAGGCTCCGCCCTAAGCCCCACTTGGGGGCCCACCCCCCTCCCCGGCCTCATCTCTGACCCGGGGAAGGATCCGCCTTTCTCCCCCGCTCTTCCCCGCACCGGGTTTCTGTTCTGAACATTTTCCCTGTCTGGCTGAAAGAGGGGCCCACCCAGGCCCCGAGAGAGACAGGCAGAATCCCCCCAGCTCTGCCCACCCTCAAGTGCTACTCATCGTTCAGAAGAACCACAAGACCCAGACCATGAGTTAGGAGAAGGGGCAGCGATGGAGGCTCCTGGAACCAGCGATTCCTGATCCCGCGCTTTGCCTGGAACTGTCCAGCTCTGGCCTACTTCATTATTGTACAGATGGGGAAACCGAGGCCGCCAGAGGGGCAGGGAGTCGCCACAGGTCACATATGAGGCGGGAACTAGGACCCAGGATCCGGGACCCCCCCAACTCCAGAACTCTCTTTACATCAAGTGGGGTCTGGGGGAGCAGCCTCAGTTTCTCCATTTGTCAGATGGGGTCAGAGGGCTTGGATGAATTCTAACCGGCAGGGGCTGCAGGCGTGTGTTGGCAAAACCCCCCTCTCCGGTGCGTCTAATGTCCAGTCCCCGCCGTGAGAATTAGTGGTCAGCTCTGCGGCCCCCCGACACTCAGAGAGCCTGGACTCGGCCCGCACCCCTGATTCCCAGGGAGCCTGCCTCCCGCCCACGCGTCCCCCGCCCCCGCATCCTCGGGTCTCGGGGCCGTCCTCTCTCTCCGGACGCTCTCACCATTCCAGCCCTCAACACTGACCACCTTCCCTCCGCGCGACCGCGGCCGGGGAGCGCGGCCCCTTTAAGAGGAGCCCCTCAGCGGGCGCGGTGCCCCTGAGACCGACCCTACCTGGCATCCGGTGCCGCCGGCCGCGCCCGGCCCCGCCCCCGCCCGCTGCCATTGGCCGCCGCGCCTGCCACTCAGGGCCGTGGCCCAGCTGGAGCCGCGCGCGCCAAGGGAGGAGGCGGGGCCACGGCGGGGCCCCGCCCAGCCGGCTTTCTTAAAGGGGCCGCTCGCTTCTTGCTGCATCACCATGAGGCAGCGAGGCGCCTGGCTTCCCCCACGCGGCCGGGCCTCTGGACATACCGGCCAGGCTGTCCCCCTACGCCGCATAGCCGCCTGCGACACCGCAGCTCCCGGTTGCAGGAGGTCCCTTTCGTCACCCCTCCCCTAGGGGACCCCAGGCCTAGCCAGACTCTATAACCCTGGGAGTCCATTTGTCCATCCAGAAAATGGGGGTTCGACTAGTCATCATTCGTCCATCCCTTCATCCCACAAACGTTCCTTGGTCCCTACAGTGGGCCAGGTGGTGGCAGAAGGGGGAGAGGGCCCCCAACATTCTAAGATCAGAGTCCTGGGTCATAATGGTCACCCCCACTTTGAGGAAAACCTTTAGATCTGTTTCCCAGCCCGCAAATTCGGTACATTTCACAAGATGTCGGGGAAGATGGAACAAGTGAGCGGATCCACAGCTCTGAACGGTGTGGGGAGGGCTTCGTGGAGGAGGTGGTTTCGGGGTTAGGGCTTCGAGGATGAATAGGAGTTTGCCAGGGAGGGAACTCCAGGCCAAGCCAATCACAAGCAAAGGGCTGGAGCTGGGTGTTGTAGTGTCGGGTGGGGCCTGGGGTGGAGGCCCCCACTTCCCTCCCAGCCAGCCAGGAGGCCGGTCCCTTCCCCAGCCCCGGGTCCTGGCCCTCAGATCATTTCTTGGAGCCACACTGGCTGTGCCCTGGGCCTCAGCTTCCTCTCTCCCAAGGCGGCTGTGGGGACTGACTGAGATGGACGGTACCCCCCTCGTCCCCCCCAGAAGGGACCCGAGCCAACACATCCCCCACGGCCTTGGACACCAACTCTCCCAGCACCTTTTCCTAGAAAGAGGTTTTATTGCCTTTGGTCCACAGTTGGTATTTCACATTATCTCTTGGTCCCAGGGCTCCTGGGTGGGGGCTGGTCCCCGGGAGGGCCTCGGGGTGGGGGTCCCTGTGCAGTACTTGGCGGCGGGGGGCGGGGTGGGGGAGCGGGGACAAGTTTCGGGGGGGCGGAGTGGGCCTGGCTTTGCCTCAACCACTCAGAACTCCACTGTCCCGTCTGGGCCTCAGGAAATCCAGTCCATCCCAACACACAAAACATCTCGGGACTGTGGCCTGGCCGTCTCCCAGGGGACCTACTTCCTCCCCAGCACCCCCTGCACCGTCCCCGCCCACCCCCCTGAAAAAAAAAAGAAGCATCTTTCTCTTGTTAAAACTGCCTGCAACTTCTGCGGGCACAGAAACCACAAACTGCTCAGCAGAGAAGACGGAAGAGGAGATGAAGCAACCGGAAACCTTCCGGGGCCGGTTCCCCTACCTGCCCGGGGTCTCCCCCGCACCCCCCCAGCTCGGCCCAAAGCCTGCTGGGAACCTGGCTGCAGGACGAGCCCGGGCAGGACCCCCACCCCGCACGCCCCGCCCCCGGAGCCTCCAGCCTTCCCCACAGACCCCCGGGGGCAGCGCTGGAACATGCGGAAAAACAAGACGAAAACACAGAAAAACCCGAAAACCCAGACGGGGCGATGATGCGGGCAGACACCTCAGTAGCCCGCCTCCTCCTGGTAGTAGGGGGGGTACTCCGGGGCCTCCCCCGGGCCGGGGCTGTCGCCGGCGGCCGCTGGAGCGCCGTCGGCTGCGGGGCCTTGCGGGCAGTACTTGGGGTCGTATATCTGGCGGCCGAGGCCAAAGACCTGGCCGCTCTGGTTGGCGCCCTGCGTGTAGCCCATTTGCAGCGACATGGAGGAGTTGTCACACTTGTCGGTCCCCAGCTTGGTGTCATAGATGTGTCGCCGGGTCCCGGGAGCCGTCATGCCCACCTGGGGAGGGAGGAGGGCGTCAGGGTGAGGATGGGACCAGGGGCCCCAGGGGAGGCAAGCAGTCCCAAATTCCCACTCTGCTCCCATCTCTCTGTCTTGGTGCTCACGGCGCAAACTCCTATGCATCCTACCACGCCCTGCTCAGACGCCCCCTCTCTCCTGACTCTGTGACATACGACCTTCTCCCTGGGAACCTTTGAGGGAAACTGAGGCACAGAGCCGGGGAGTAACTTCCCCGGGGACACACGGGGCGAGCCCAGGTGGAGACAGAGAAGGCACAGCCAGAGAGCGGGGGGTCCGACGACAGGGACGAGGCCGCGGGTCCGGGGGGCCCACCTGGCTGGCACACTTGTTGGTGCCCATCTGGAGGCTGATGGTCGAGTGGTCCATGGGCGGCAGGATGTGGTTCTTGGGGTCGTACAAGTGCCTCCTGGTGCCGTAGGCCGTCATGCCCGACTGGCTGGCACACTTGTTCGTACCCATCTGCAGGGTGGCGGCCGGACCGTCAGGGCCTCGGGATGCCGCCCCGAGCTCCAGGGGCCACCGACCGGCTGCACGGGGCCCGCGTGTCACCTCAGAAGCCCACCTCCCGCCGCCGGGCACCCCGGTCGGGGCTGGAGGAGCCTGGCGCCCACCTGGAGCCCGATGACGCACTGGCCGGCCTTCATGGTGGCGTCGTCAAAGTTCCGCTCCTGCTTCTCCGAGTACTTGACGCCGATGTCCACGCCGCTCTGCAGCCCCTTCGTCTTGGCCTGGAGGCGAGGGGCGCCGGGAGCACCAGGGGGCTGGGCTGGAGCACGAGGCTCGGCCGGGGGGGCACCGGGAGTGACTGCCGCCCGCCCTGTCCACTGCCGACGCCTCGGTGCCTGGGCCTCAGCACGCCCCCCTCTCTCTCACCGTCCATCACCTCCTTCCACCCAACCCCCGGCCCCCCCCTGTCCAGGCCACGGCCCCCGACGCTCCCCGGATGCCGGTCCCCCCGGAGCCTCCACTCCCCTGGTGGCAACACTGCCGAGAACACCACTCGGGACCCGATTCCCCGACACGAACGCTGTCCTCCCTGTTCCCACCGCTCAGCCTTGCTGTTCCCTCCTCCTGAAACACTGTTCCGACCCACCCTGGACGTCGTCGGCCTAATTCTTCTCCTTCAGTTTATAACTTCTCACAATTGATAACTTACAAAAAAACGATTTAGGAGCTTAAGGGGAAACCCCGAACAAGTGGGTGATAAAGAGGTGTCGATGGAGGCCCATGGCTGGATGTTGACAGGGGGGGGGGGGGTGGCTATATGGGAAATCTCTGGACCTTGCTGCTCACTTTGGCTGCGAACCTAAAACTGCTCCAAAATATCAACCTTAAAAAAAAAAAAAAAAAAGGTTTGTTCGTTGTCTCTTCCCCTGTCAGACCGTGAGCCCGTAAGGGGCGGACCGTGTCTGTCCGATTCGCCACCGAACTCGGGGCGGCCCGCGCCTCCCCGCGGGCGCTCAGAGAGACTCGCAGAGGAACGGGCCCGTAAATCTACCACCGTCAGTCGACCTCGCTGTGTGACTCCGGGCAGGTGGCTGCCCCTCTCTGGGCCTCACCTTCCCCGCCAGGGCGAGAAGAGACACCTGCACCTGCGTCATGTTCCCGCTCTCGAACAGGTCGTTGGCCTCGAACAGGTCCACGGGGTTCATGCCGTAGCTGACCATGGCCTTGATGAAGTTGGACAGGTTTTCCAGCTGCGAGGGGGCGGGAGAAGGGCGGTGAGGGGACCCCCCAGTCGGCCCACCTGTCAGATGGCGGGGTCCCTGCCCCCCACCCCGGCCCGGCCCGCCGGCCCCCTCACCTGGTGCCAGTTCTGCATGGAGCGGTTGATCTTGGGGACGGAGCCCGGCTGCAGCTTATTCATGAGTCTGGGGGACGGGGTCGGGGTGGGTTGGGGGGGACACGGGACGTCCCGTCAGTTCAGGGGAACCTCAGGGGCCACGACTCTCATCTCGGCCACGCGCATACCTTCCACGGCCCCCTCCTGCCTCACTCTCTGGGCCTCAGTTTCCCCTCTCGCAGTGCCGCCTTCACCCGCCCGTGAGCACGGCCCGTGTAGGGGCTGTAACGGGAACCGCCGAGCGCGGGGACAGACAGAGCGACGGGACCGGAGGAAGCGGAGCCAGAAGGAGCTGGGGACCCCTCGAGGCAGGAGCTTCCGGCGGCAGGCGGCGGGTGGGGACACCACTCGCGACAGCCCTGGGGTTGGGGGGGACGCGCATGGCGCCTGCACTCACGTGCACAGGATAATCCCGTCCTTGAGGCCCTTCTGGAAGTCGGGGCCGATGGACAGGCCGGTGAGGCCCTCGATCCAGCCGCGGAGCTCCGCCTCCTTCTGAGGGTCGTATTTGGACAGGAGCTGGAGGAGCAGAGGTCGCGGGGTGCGCGGTGACTACGCGCCCGGCGGCGGCCCCGAGAAGCGCCTGCCGGGGAGGGGTCTGCGACTCCAAGGGAAGAAGAGACAGAGGGTCCTGGAGGTCCCCACACCACCCCGCCCCGAGCAGATCCGGCCCCGTTCCCTGGGCACAGACAACCCCCCACGGCGCAGCCCCGCTGGGACCTCCCGCGGAGAAACACGGGCACGAATCCACATCCCAAAACGATGCCGGACCCCACGCGGCCCCCGCGGTGATCTGGGCCGTCAGACCCCCTCGCTCCCCCGGCAGCAGACGCTGACCCCTCTCTGCCCTCGTTTGTGAATGTGCTGAGACGCACGTGACATCTCCCATGTCAGAGCCTCCATTCAGTGGCACTCACCACGTTGTGCCACCAGCACCTCTCTCTCGTTTCCGGAACATTCCATCACCCCAATAAGATCCCCCGTCCCCATCAGCATCACCCCCGCCCCCTCCTGCCCAGCCCCTGGCCCCCACCAGCCCACTCTCTGTCTGTGGATCTGTCTGTTCACGTCCCTGGGGTCACACGCTGTGTGTCCTTCTGTGTCTGCATCTCTCCCTGAGCGTCGTGGGTTCAGGTCTGTCCCTGTGCAGCCGTGTCAGGGCCTCGCTCCTTTTCAGGGCTCTGCAATATTCCACTGAATGGCCAGACCGATCCATTCGCTACTGATGGACATTTGGGTGACTTTCACCATTTTGGCTATTGTGCATCGTGCTGCTGGGAACATCCGTGTACCGGTTTTGTTTGAACACCCGTTTTCAATTCTTGGGGGTGTGTACCTGGCAGTGGAATGGCTGGGTCATAATTCCGTGTCTAACTTACTGAGGAACCCCCTTGAACTGGCCACACCAGTGACTGCCTCAGGGCCTTTGCACATGCTGTCACTTCTGACTCAGATGTTTGCACAGCTGGAAGTTCCCCTCCCGAGAGAGGACTCCCCTGAGGCCCCCGCCATGACGACCCTCCTCGCACCCCTCTCTCGCCGCCCCTGCCTGACCCCCCTACCCGTGCTTTGGTCACCACCCTCTGCTGTGTGATCCATCTCCTTGCTGATGGGCCGTCCCCCGTCGTGCTTTTTGCTGTGCAACTCAGGGCTGCCCCTGTCACCACTGGGAGTCGATTGATAAAAACGCTCATGGGCCCCGTCAGCGCACACCCACTGCCCGCGAGCGCACACGGGCCCCGTCCCCGTCGGCGGCATCTCAGAGTATGGACGGCCGAGAAAGCCCGGGGGAGCCCTAAGATGTCAGGGACCCCCAGCCCCCTTCCTGGTCCCTGCGTACAAACCCTGCGACACGGGATCAGGGCTGAGCCGCCCGGGGGACAGAGGCGGGAGGCCGGTCAGTCACCCGATCCGCCCAGCCCGGCCCCCTGGGGCCTCGGCCTCCCGGTTCCCACGGCCTCGGGGAGCCGCCCCGGCCGCACGCGGAGCCAGACAGGGGGTCACGTCCCGAGAGGCGCGTTTGAGGCGGGCGGGCTGGTCTGGATGCCCGGTCCGCGCGCCCAGCTGGGTCCCGTCCCCGACGGCTCCGGGGCTGGGGTCGCGCAGAGGCGCCCGGCGGGCCGGCCCTCCTCCCCCGCTGCCCGCGCATTCCTGCCGGCCGCAAACTGCCAGGAATGCAGCCGGCCTCCCCCAAATGGGGACCAGCTGTTCCCAGCGGGCCAGACCCCCCCCCCCCACCGCCAGCGGCCGGAGATCCCGCGGCCACGGCCCCTCAGAGACACGCACTGGACGTCGGCCCGCCTCCGTGCCAGCCGGCCGGGGGGAAACTGAGGCACGGGGGCCGGGCGGCAGGGTCTCTGGGTCGCCCTCCTCTTAAGCAGCCGGTAAAGTGGAGGGGCTGTGGGCTCGAAGCCGCGGGAAGCTGATCTCCAAGGCCGGTCCCGCTGGGGGGCTTTGTCCTCACCCGCTTCCTGCTGCCCCCCGGGAGGCGGCCAGGAGCAGGACGTGGCGGGTCTGGGTCTCCCTCTGCCTCCCGCGAGCTGTGCGGTGCCGGCAGCTTCAGCCGCGTCTCTGAGCCCCGTGGGCAAACCCGCCAAGGAGCAGCCCGGGGAATTAGGGCTGGAGGGCGGGACGGTGCGCCCCAGGGGGTCGGGGACCGGCAGAGCCCTCCCTCCCCGTGCCACCACCCGCAGGTGCCCGGCGGGGGCTGGCGGGGCTGTGCCCTCAGCGTGCCCAGGCAGGTCCCCCGCGGCCGCGGCTGTGGGGCCACATTCCCAGGTGCCTGGTGGGAGGGTGTGTGTGGGGGGGTGGGGGCGGGGATGACAAACCCCCAGCGGGCTGGAAGCGACCTGGCTTGTCAGTCCTGGGACCTGCCCCTGGGTCTGGGATGACCCCCCTGCTCCCCATTCCCGGGACGGGCCCACCCTGCTGTGTGACCCTGCAGAAGTGTCTGCCCCTCTCTGAGCCGGCACCACAAGCGCTTTGTCAAAAAGTGTCTCCACCTGGCGTTTCCAGGTTGCCAAACGCACACATTTTAGGGTCGCATTTAGGGGACCCCGGCGAGCTGTGAGCGAGGCCTCTGCTCTCCCTTTGACCGTGTCAGACCCGGACAAAGAGAATGTGGGGGGTGGGGAGCAGCCGGGCGGCCCCCCGGGCTCCAGCCTCCCCTGGGCGCCCCCCGCCAGGTGTGAGAGGTCGGGAAATTCCTGTGGGGGGGGCCACACCCTCCTGCAGGCTGCGGCCCCGCCCCCTTCCTCCCGCCGCTGCTGGGGCCCCGAAAGCAGAAGTGCGGCCGGGGGATGAGGACGAGGGGGCGCGCGGGGGACCCCCGGGCTGTGGGGGCGACAGTGGGGGGGGGGCCTGCGGCTGGGGGCGGGGCGGGGGCAGAGGTCAGACCCGAGCGGCCCTAGAGGATGGGGGGACGGGTGGGTCACGCCTCCCCCGAGATCGCAGCCCTCACGGGCCCCCCTCCAGATTCGGGGGGACGCCCCGGGCCCCCCGAGACGTCAGGAGGAGAAGGGCCGCGCGGCCCCGGGTGCAGAGCTCGCGGTGCCCCCCCAACCCCCGGGGTCGGGCCCGCGGGGGGCCCGCGGAAGTCGGGGATGGGGGGCGCCCCGGGAGCTGGGGGGGGTCCCCACTCACCCGGTTCTTGACCTCGGCCGAAAGCCCGTACGAGGGCCCCTTGTTGAACTGCGTGGAGCTCATGGCCGGCGGGACGGACGGACGGGCGGACGGACAGACAGACGGACGGACGGGAGGACGGCGGCGCCCGGGAGCCGGCGACCACGCCCCCGCCGCTGATTGGCGCCCGGCGCACATGGCCTTATAAGGCCGCGCCGCGCGGATTCCTGCGGCCGCCGACTTCCGGAGCCCCTCGCCGCCCGACCCCCGCACCCCCCCCCCCCCGGGCCCGGCCCCTCGCCGCTCGGAACCGACGGGAAACTGAGGCACGGCGGTGGCGCTGAGCCGCCCAGACGGGGCCCTCCTGCCCTCACCCCGCTGGGGGCTCCTAGGCGGCTCCCGCACCCCTTCTGGGTCTCAGTTTACCCTTCTGCCTCACGATAGGCGAGGGGGGATTGCTGGGTGGCACCCGAATTCCCTTGCGGCACGAATGAGGACCCCCCCCCCCCACTTTCTGCCACTTAGAGGGGCCTCCCAGTCTGGCCCCTGCCTCCTGGGAACTCCGGTAGTTGGGTGGTGGGCAAGGGAACTAGGGCCGGCTCCTCTGAGGAGTGGGCCATGGGAGCTGGGGCTGCGAGGGGTGAATAGGAGTTTGCCAGTCCCAAAGGGATTAAGTGTTGCTGGCAGAGCAAAAGGTACAAAGACAGGAAGGGATTGTTTGTGGTTGAAAACCTTTAGGGATTAATCAGATAAGCTGGGGAAGGGGGGGATAAGAAGGGGCCTTGAATTCTGGGCTGAAGGATGAAGTGGAATGGGGAGGAGGGTGGAATAGCAGAGAGTGTCGATCAGGAGATGCCCTGGGGGTAGGGCTGAGCCTGCCCAGTGGACCAGGCCGGGCACACAGTGGGTGCTCAGTAGGTGGTGTCTATGTACGGATCAATCAATAAGGGAATAAACGGATTTGCTTATTCAGTCAGTCACTCATTCATTCATTCACACAGCTATTCATTCATCAAACGTTCCCTGACGCAGCCTCTGGGCCATTCCCTTGCTGGGTGATTCTGGGTCCCGGGAGACTGTAACTCTGGCCCTGCCCATCTCTGGGAAGACGGAGCCAGGCACAGGAGCCCCCACCCACCCAGGTGAGCAGGCACAAGACAGAAAGAGGGGACTGGGGTGCAGGAACATGAGCGGGGAGTAGGGGCTGCATGTAAGAGGGGACGTCAGAGATGGGGTTCTGAGGTGTGAGTAGGAGTCTGACACACAAGTGGCTGCCTGGGCTCTGCACGGGTTTGGAAATGACTCGCCCCTGGTGCCTCACTGCCGGGAAGTCTGTTTTCTGTCTCCACCTGTCATTCTCCCGGGCCATCTGGCCGACGGCTCCTTTCTTCAGGGTTCAAGTCCGAGCTGGCTGGTCAAGGGTGAGTCCCTTTCCTTCTGGGTCTCAGTTTATCATCTGTGAAATGGGGACCAGTGGCCAGTGGGGGGGGGGGTCAACCATGAGCCAACGGCTCTGATGTGGGAACGTGCAGTTTGGTGGTGTCCAGGCTGGGAGCTGGGAGGGTGGGACGGACTCGGGGGTCTGGGTGGACCCCTTGCAGCGGCACCCAGGGTGCTGTGGAGGCCCCGGCAGCGGGAAAGGGGGCTCGAGTGGGTCCCTCGACCGCCTGCCCGGCCTGCGGCGATGGGTGGCTGCCAGCCCCACGCCCGCGGGTCACCTGGTCACGCCCCCCACTCCCGCCTGCGGATGGGGCTCCCGCCCGGGCTGACCAAGGGGACCGAGATGACAGAAAGGCCCCACAGGGCACCGGCCGCCTCTGTGGCCACCGGCTACGCGGCTCGCGAGCACTGGACGTGTGGCCAGCGCGGCCGTGGAAGCGAAGGCTTCATTTTATTTGACTTGAGTTAATTCTGACGCAAACTTAAAAACCGACGCTGGATCCAGGTTTCGGGAATCGTCCTGGCGGGTCCGTTTTGGCCGCGGGTTTTCCGAGGGCGCATCCACGTCCGGGTCGGGCCGGACTTCTCGGACCTGGCGCAGCAGCGGGTGAAAGGCCCCGTTAATCGTCTTTCACATCGATCACACGTTGAAATGATCCCGTTTCCGAGACACCGAGTTATGGGAACCGTTTCCGAGACTGTCCTCGTTTCGGTCCTTTAATGTGGCTTAAAACTGAGAACTGCGGGTGTGGTTTGTGCTACGTTCCTACTGGCCGGTGTGTTCTGGACCGCGGGCCCAACCCGGACACTCTTTTGCGGTTTTTTTGGGGGGTGGTCCCCAAGCTAAAAAGTTAAAAAAAAAAAAAGAAAAATCAAAAGAAGACTCTGACGACAAGTGGAAATCATATAATATTCGCATTTCAGGTCTAGTCGGACGGAGCTCCCTCGGCCCGGCTGTGCCCACACGTTTGCAGCTGGACTCAGGCACCTGTGGGCCGCAAAGCTGCAAATACTGGCTTTTTGGTCTTTTACAAAAAATGGGTTATCAACGACTCCTCGTCTACACCCGCAGCCTCCCAGAACCCGAGGAATCCAGACTTGGATGGACATCCCAGGATTCTAGATCCCAGGGTTTCGGAAGCTTAGGCTGTGACAATCGGGGAAACTCCGCCGAGGACCCCAACTTCCAGAATGCGGGAGCCTGGGCTCGGGTCCTGACGCCCTGCCTGGCTGTGTGACCTCAGGCAATTGGGCTGGACCTCTCTGTGCCTCAGTTTCCCCGTCTGTGACTCGCCCACTGCCCTTGGGGCTGCCGGCCACAGGGAACGGTGAATGTGTGGAAATACGTGGAATTCTCGGAGTGACGCCGCCCAGGGTGACCCGAGATGAGGGCTTGTTGACAACTCACTTGAAATCTCAGGAATTTCGGCCTCAACTGCAGGAACGGGGCGGGGGTTCCGGGGCCTCTGCGGCTGCCCCACCCTCTGCCCTTGACCCCATGGCGCTCCCTGTCAGGACTGACCCTGGGGGACTGCGGGGGCTTACGGGGGACGTCCCCAGGTACTCCGGGGTGTGACCTCAGCCATGCCCGCGGGCGGGGGGCCACGGCTGGAGGAACTGGGGTAGCAGGGCCGCCCCCCCCACCAAGCCTCAGCCTCGGGTGCCCGGGCGGTGGGCTGGGCCCCGGGGGTCTCAGGGGTCTGGCTCCAGGGCTGCAGGTGCAGCAAGGGTCCTGCAGCCCTTTCCGGGCAGCCACCCCTGGGCGATCCTGTCCCTGCGGTGACGGGGCTCTGAGTGGGACCCCGGGGGTCAGGGCAGGACCCTGGGCTGGGCCGTGCAGCCCGGGCTTCAGACAGCCCCTCGCTCTCTGCAAACGGGCCTTGCCTGGTGCCACTTCCCGGCCAGGACACCTGCAGGTGGGACAGCAACAAAGTAGCAACAGGCAGTGACCATAAGCCTGTCAGCTCAGGTCAGGATCTTCCCCTGCTCACAATGCCCCGGGGGCTCCCCATTGCCCCCCAACCGCGTGCCCTCCAGGCCCCTCCCGCGGCCCCGGCCCTCTGCCTGACGCTCTTCCCACCCCGGTCGCCCGCTGTCCCCATTCCCGCCCCTGCTCCAGGGTCCCCTTCTCGGCGAGCCTGAGTGAAGCCCCCAACCTGCCCCAACGCCACCGCCCACCGCAGACGAGTCACAGTGACGCCGGCGGCCTCCTCCGAAACCCGTCCGTCTCCGCCACCGGGTCTGGCTAAGGCGCTGGACCTCGCTGGACGCATCAGAGACCCACCCGCCGCCCGCGGCCAGGCCGGCTGCACTCCCCACGCCAAGGGGACATCCACCCGCGCCCTGCGTTGGGAAAGATGTTTTATTTCCTCCTTTGTGACTAACAAGTGACCTGGGCGGTGACCCATAATAATTTCAAGTGTGCACTCATGGAGCGCCTACTGAGTGCCTGCACAGGGCGCCTTCTACGGGACAAGAAGATGACAACCTCTTCTGCACCCCTGCGGGGGATGCTCTCGGTCGGGAGCCAGAGTGGACACCGCTCGTGTCCCTGCTGGTCCCGGGCTCTGTGTCCTCAACGCCGGGCACTGGCCCTGGGGCGCCGTCTGCAGCGGGCCCGGGTGTCCACTGTGCGTCCTCGCCCGTGTCCCCTGTCTGCCCTCCCGGGATCCTGCTGGGTCCAGCCCCCCTGCCCGGGAGTGCGCCGTGGTGACACGGGAGGCGTCCTCTTCCTTCGCGGAGGCGCCAGACGTCAAGGATGAGGACACGGCCCGAGGCGCCCTCCCGGGCGGGGACACTGCGGAATGTGCCGGCTGCGGGCGGGGGACGGGCTGGCCACCTGTGAGCCGGGCGGCGGCCAAGAGGAGGACGCGGCTCAGGACAGCTCAGTGGCCGGCACGGGCTCCCAGTCCTGTCCAGTCCTTGACCCTCCGGATGCAGGTCGCGCAGGGGGCACGGGACAAGGACAAGGACAGGGACGCTCCCTTAGTGGCCGGCACGGGCTCCCAGTCCCATCCAGTCCTAGTCCCTCTGGACGCAGGTCACGCAGGTGGCACGGGACAAGGACAAGGACTGGGACGCACCCTTAGTGGCCGGCACGGGCTCTGAGTCCCGTGCGGTCCTCCAGGTCACCATCGGGCCAAGGTCACGCAGGGGGCGCGCAGCAGGGACGAGGGTCTGGAGGAGAAAAGAAACTGCCGTGGTGACACCAGATGGGCAAAACCCGGCTCGGGACCCACAGCCCCCGTGCGAAATCCCCGGATGCACCGCGACGGGCAGGAGGGCGGAGCTTCGTCCAGTCCCCGACCTTCGTGAACAGCCAGGCGCAGAGCCCGGCGGGACCCTATGACGCCAGGAGTTTTAGTGACGTCAGGAGGGCCCACCCTCACGCAAAACTCGCTGCACGCGCGGGAGCCTTTTCTCGGACAAACACGCCAACCGCCGGCTTATTTGAAGGGCATTGAACAAAGTGCTTTACAGTTATGCCAATTTGATGCAACCTGTCCGGCATGGCTTTCTCGAGAGCACCATGCAAAGGAACATGTCCTCCCGTCACACTTCCTTAGCTGTCTTCGATCGCGTTTAAAACCCTCCCATATTGACTAATTTTGACTCCCACGCGCGGCCTCGCAGCCGCAGAGGATTCTGGGGGCCAACATGCAAAACAGCAGTCCCGACGCAGCCCCGCCCCGCAGCGTCCCCGAGCGGCGCGGCCGAGCGAGCAGGCGGGGCCTCCGCGGGTCGGCCGCCGGCATCCCAGCGTGCCCCGCGGGCGCAGGGGCCGCTCTGGCCGGGCGCGGCGACTCGCAGGCGTCAGCAGGACGCGGAGGCGGAAGATGGCGGCGGCGGCCGGGCGGCCGTGAGCGGGCGGCGGCGGCGGGGACGGCCCATGGCTGCCGGGAGGCGCGCTCGGGGACCCGCGGACCGCTAAGGGCGCGACGCGGGACGGCATGTCGGAGCACGCGGCGCCCGGGGCCCCGGCGCCCGGGCCTAACGGCGGCGGCGGCGGCGGCGGCCCGGCCCCCGCGCGCGGGCCACGCACCCCCAACCTGAACCCCAACCCACTCATCAACGTGCGCGACCGGCTCTTCCACGCGCTCTTCTTCAAGATGGCTGTCACCTACTCGCGGCTCTTCCCGCCCGCCTTCCGCCGCCTCTTCGAGTTCTTCGTGTTGCTCAAGGTGACCGCGGCCCCGACCCCCGACCCCTGACCCCGGCGGCGGTCCTGCGCCCCCTGACCCCGACGCGCCCGGGCCACCGAGCCTTCCCACCTGGGGGACTAGACCCGACCCGCTGGGGACCCTGCGACCCCTGACCCCTGCCCGCCTGCCCCGAGACGTCCACCTGGGAAGGACCGGGTGTCATCCCGTGGTGGCTCCTGGTCCCGGCTCCGGGCCGCGCCCACCCCCATCCTCCCCAGGCCCCGACCCGCCGGGAGCCTCTCGCCCTGTGACCCCGTGCACCCCCCCACCCGGGCCCGTCCCGCCCCGATCTCCAACCCCGGGTCTCCCCAAAGCCCGCGGCGGCCGCGCCCCCGGGACACACCCCCGGGCCACCGGCTGCCCCGCGAGCTGCTCCCGGCCCCGCTCCTCCTGCCGCCGCGCCTTCCGGGGGCTCCCACCCTGGGGACCTTCCACTGCGCCCCTGCCGCCCCCGCCGTGCTCCTTCTCTGGGCTTCACGGGAGCGTGACCTGACCGAGGTCACTCGCCAGGCTTGGTGACAAAGTCACAGCCGGCGCTGCCGCTGGCGGCTCAGCCGGGCCCGCGAGCTTCTGCGCGTCCACCCGCGGGGGCACCGCCCGGCCCGTCCGAGAAGGGGTCTCCCCCCCGGGAAGGAGCTTGCTGGGCCGGGGGCCGGGGTTCCCGAGCACAGGGCGGTCCCAGGTGTCGCCTGACACCTGCCGCGGGCCGGGCCGGGGTGCTGGCTGGGCTCCTGGGCTGCACAGAGCGGCTGATGCTGATGGTCAGGTGCTGGGGCGTGGCCGGCCTGGTTGGTCAGGACCTGCTGGTTCTTTGGGGTTTGGTGGAAGGAGCGCCAGTGGGGCCCGGACCGACCTGGGTGTGGGCTGGCCACAGCCTCCCGGGGGCCCTTGAGCCCCCCAGTCCCTCGTGGGCCAGAGTGGCCTGCTCTCTGCCTGGTGAGGCCATGCTGAGGTGGCCCTCTTGCCCCCTCCCCTCCCCAGGACCGCTCGGGGCCCCTTCGGAGGCTGTGAGTGGGGCTGTGGAGGATTATGGGATCGGGGTTCCTTTATTGGGCTCCTGGGGTCTGTGGATGCCTGAGAGTGGGGACAGAAGCCGCGTGGAGGAGAGGGAGCCCTGTCCTCCCCAGACCTCAGATGGGGCCACTTCTGAGGGGCTGGGCTCTGTCTGCTGCTCCCCGGTTTAGGAGCAGATGGGTGTTTGGGGCGACCAGCAGACAGGCCCTGGGCAGGTGGCCCCAGAGGCGTCAGCCCCGAGTTCGTCTCCGCTGAGCTGGAGCGGCGAGGCCCCTCGTTCCCGGAATCTGCCCCAGTTCCCGTCGGCACGTGAGGCCGGCGGCTGGTTCTGAGCCGCCTCAAGTTCCAGAACGCCCGCTGCTGTGTTTCCGGTCGCCGGCTTCCGGACTCTCGCTGCGAGACCGAGGTCCCCTCGCGGACTTCCTCTCGGCCTCTTCCTGGGCCGCCGGTTCCGCCAGCTCCTGCTGCGGGCTGCCCAGGTGCCCGCTTCCCCGCCCTCCTCAGGCCGTTTGGGGACCTGTGTCCCACATGCCAGCTGCTGGGGGCAAGAGGTGGCCGCTGGGCCCGTGTTTGGGGCCCTTAGAAGCCCGTCCCCCCACCCGCCTGGGCTGCCACCTCGGCTGGTTCTCCTGGCGCGAAGGCCCAGAGCTGGCACTGGACTCTGGACCCTGGGCTTCCTGACCCTGCAGCCCCGAGCAGGAGGCCATGGCGGGAGGGGCACCAATGTGGGCAGCAGAGGTGATGGGGTGCCCTCGGGGTCCCCAAGGATTAAGGAGAGGATGTGTCTGAAGCCCCTAGGGTCCCTGCTCTGAGTGGGATCCCTGAACCTGTTCCCCATGCCACCTCAAGCTGGGCCCTGGGACCCAGGGGGGAGTGGGCAGATGAGGAGGAAGGGACAGACTGGCTGTGGGGCATGCGGTCTGTGTGACATGCGGCAGCTGCAGCCTCGAGAAGGCAGCAGGAACAGCCTGTGCAAAGGCCCTGGAGCTGGCAGAACAGCAAAGCCAGTGCAGCCAGGGAGGTGAGAGCACAGGGTTCTCTGGGGTGGCAGAAATTGGGGGGCTGTATCACCCCAGACCTGAGGGGTGACCGGACCACCCTGCTGGTCAGAGGGTGGGAAGGCCATGGATGAGACTCCTGAAATCCCTAAAAGGGAGAAGCGGGGAGGGCTGCCTGGTGCCGCCTCACCTGGGGCTGCCCTGTGTGGCTGATGACAGGTCTGGAGGGGACTGAAACCGATTCTGCCTGCTTGTTCCATAATGGGGAAACTGAGGCCCGGATCGGGGGCGGGCCTCGTCAGTTGGGGCAGAAACTCCTGGCCCCGCCCCCAGGGACCCACCCCCTCTGTCAAGGGCAGTCGACCCCACCTGGGGCCTCAGGTAGCGATCAAGGTGCTGGTGGGGCCGTTGGCGAAGGCCCCACGGTGGCGCTGGGCCCTGGGGGCTGCTCAGCAGCATCATGCGCCTGGGTGCCGCCAGGTCTCTCCTTCACGTGTCCTCGGGGCTTACCTCCTGGGTTCCCTCCTGGCCGTGTGACCTCGCTGCTCCAGTCCCCCCGTCTGTAAGGTCCCCCGCCTATAAACCCAGGCGATGTCAGGCGCGAGTGTGGGGCGGTGCACGGGTGGCCCCTGGCGTCCGGCTCCGTGTTGTGTCAGCATTTCTGGTGCCGTCTTGGCAGGTTGTGCCGTGCTGTCCTCTTGGCCCACAGTGGGCGGCGTCCTGGGCTCGGCTCCCACTGGACATCTGGCCTGCAGAGCCTGGTGGGCTGAGCCGAGGGTGGCGGGTCCCAGGCCTCACGACCCGTCTCTGGCTCGGCGGGCCCCCGGACACGACGCTGGAGTGCAGGTCCCCGGGGTGCTTGCCTGCAGCCACGCCTCAGGGAGCAGGCTGCCTGGCCTGTGGGACACTCTGCAGCTGAGGCCCTGGCTCTGGCCTTGGCTTCAGCGTCCGCCCTCGACCTGCACACCTGGGGTCTGGGCGGGGCCACCTCTCTCTGCCCACATCTCAGCGGTGCCCTCGGCTCGAGTGGCCCAGGGGAGGAAGATCGGGGCTGGCACAGCTGAGGGCCTCGGGTGGGCTCGCCCCAGCTGCGGGAGTGGCTGGATCCAGGACTACACAGGGTGCCCAGAAAGGGGCCTCTCCCCATTCTCTGGCGCTCTGTCCCCCTCAGGTCACAGTGTCCTGGCTAGGACGGGGCGGGCGCCCTGCTGCCCCAGCCTTCACCAGGGCTGCAGGGTGAGCTCCAGAGGGGAGGCTGGTGCCCCCGGGTGGTGTTAGCACTACCCTCTGGGGCATGTGGCAGGGCATGGAAGGGGTGAGGTTCTGGCTGGTGGCCGTGTGGCCCTAAGTGGCCATGGGCAGCTCGCTGGGCCAGGAGGGGCTTTGTGCTCTGGCCTCTTGTGGGCTGTGGTTTTCAACCATGGTCAGCTCTCCTGGAGAGCGGGGCTTGGCTGTGGGGGCGTCTCAGAGGCTCTGCCAGCCCAGCTCGGGGATCACCCCATCTCTGAGCAGCTCCTGGGGTCATGAGCTTGCTGACGCCACTTTCCTGGGGCGATGGTGGGCACCACCTTGGGCGAGCTGGGGACTCTCCTCAAGGAGTGGGGCAGCAGGTGGGACACGGGAGTGATGTCCTGGACACCGTGTCTGGGCCGGGAGGGTAACATTTGTCCGCTAAGGGCTCATGAGAAGCATAATCGTCAGCTGGGGAGGTGGGCTCCTGGGGAGGGGGTGGCCCTTCTGACACATCTACTGTGAGCCATGCAGAAGGTGCTGTTGTAGCCTGACACGGGGCGGGGTCCCCCCAGCACTGCTGACGTCGGGGCCGGGTCACTGTCTGTGTGGGCCGTTCTGGGCACTGTGGGGTGTTGAGCAGCATCCCTGGCCCCACCCCCTCAATGCCCGGAGCTCCCCCAGTGTGACAACCATAGATGTCACCAGATGTGGCCCAGTGTTTCCTGGGGGCAGGCCCGCCTAGTGGGAGCCAGTGCTGTCCCCATTTTACAGATGGGGACACCACGCCTCAGAGACGCCAAGCGAGCTGGCCCTGCCGTGGGGCCCTTGGCCCAGTTCCTGAGGGCTGGCCGTGTCCTTGGCAGATGCAGCTGGCCATGCCCGCCGGGTAGAGGGCAGCTGGCTTTAACTGGCGGGTCAGAGTGCACCAAGGGCAGGGAGAGCCTTGCGGGACAGAGTGGTGGGTGATGGCACCCTGTGCTCTGGTGGGTCCCATCAGGTGGGCCCCAGCCGGGCCTCTCTGGGCGGGTCCCGCAGGCCCCCCGGGGCAGTCCCAGGAAGTGCCCGCTGTCCCACAGGCCCTGTTCGTGCTCTTCGTGCTGGCCTACATCCACATCGTCTTCTCGCGCTCCCCCATCAACTGCCTGGAGCATGTGCGCGACCGCTGGCCGCGGGAGGGCATTCTGCGCGTGGAGGTGCAGCCCAACTCGAGCCGCGCGCCCGTCCTCCTGCAGTTCTGCGACGGCGGCGGCCTGGCTGCGGGCCTGGTGGAGGAGGAGGAGGAGGAGGAGGAGCTGACCGTGGAGATGTTCGCCAACAGCTCCGTCAAGGTGCGCTGGCCGCCTGCCGCCTAGGAGGTGCTGCCTGGAGCACACGCCCTCGCCGGGCCTGGCTCACCAGCCCGGCCTGCTTCCCGCTGGGGCCTGGGGCAGGCGGCACTGCTGGCCCACTTGGGTCGGTCGTTTCCTGGCTGTCACCTGGAGGGCCTGGCCGAGTTCTGGGGCCCGAGAGGGAGGCCCCAGGGCCCCAGTTGCTGGTGCGGCTCCTGCAGAGGTGCTGTGCGCCTCTCACTGGAGGCGTGCAGGTGACGCCACACTGACGGGCCAGGAGGGAGGTGCTGGGGCGGTCAGAGTTGGGGTGGGCCCGGGCAGGTGCGGTGTTGGTGCAGAGCTCGCCAGGAGGCCTGTCCTCCCAACTTGAGCCCTCTGCCCCCCCAGCTTTGGGGGCAGACCCCCGCCTGGAGATGACCACTCAAGGGGTCTTGGCTTGGGTCTTTGATTGGCTGTGGGTCAGAGGCCCTCGGCCCCAGAAGTGGAGGACGTCAGGCAGAGGTGGCCCAGGGCCGGACCCCCTGGCGCCGCCCCACCTCTCGGTGCCCCCCACACCCTCTGCAGTTCGAGCTCGACATCGAACCCAAGGTGCTGAAGCCGCCGGGCAGCGCCGCGGCCCTGAACGACAGCCCGGAGTTCCCCTTCCCCGAGACGCCCTCGAAAGGTACGCACGCCGGGCCGCGGCCGCCATAGCAGCTGAGGTCACCTCAGGGGCTCTCTGGGGGCACCGCCTGGCCAGAGGGGCTACTGCTCCCAGCAGCCAGACCAGCGCGGGCTGGGGAGTGGCTGCTCCGTGCCTCCGTTTCCCTATCTCTCAGCAGCACGTGAGGCCGTGGGAGATGCTCCCGGGCCCTGGCTCCCCCTCCTTGGGACCCTCCTCTGAAGGGGTCAGGCCCTGCAGCTCAGAGCTGCACGTTCTTGGGGAACCCGCCCCTCCCCTGCCTGCACCTAGAAAGTCCTGTGGGTGCTGTCTGACCAGCCGCCCACGAGCCAGGCGTGTGGTCACCCAGCCCCTCCCAGGGCGTGGGCGGGGCTCCGCGCTGACCGGGCCTGGGGCACCCGCAGGGTGGCCGCAGGACGAGTACATCGTGGAGTACTCGCTGGAGTACGGCTTCCTGCGGCTGTCGCAGGCCACGCGGCAGCGGCTCAGCATCCCCGTCATGGTGGTCACCCTGGGTGAGTCTCCCCTGCGACCCGCGAGCCCCCACCACAGGCAGAGCGTCCCGGCCCCAGCTCTCGGGTCTCCTCCGAGAGGGCCTGGGCGGGGTGACCCACAAGCACTTGAGTCCCAGGTCTGGACCGTCCCCAGGTCTGGGGGCCGCCTGCTCCGCAGCCGCGGGAAGCCCCCTCCCGGGCCCCGGCCCACCTGTTGCTCAGGGTCACGGTGCTGCTCCCGTGGGGAGGCTCCCCGCTCAGAGAGGAGGTCTGGGCTCCCCGGGGCCTGGCCAGGCACACACCGCGTCCCGGGCTGCCCACAGACCCCACGCGGGACCAATGCTTCGGGGACCGCTTCAGCCGCCTGCTGCTGGCCGAGTTTCTGGGATACGACGACATCCTCATGTCCAGCGTGAAGGGCCTGGCTGAGAACGAGGAGAACAAGGGTGCGGCGGCATGCAGGGCGGGGCGGGGGTGGGGGACAGGCCGGGGCGCAGCCGGCACTCAGCCTGCCCCCCACAGGCTTCCTGCGGAACGTGGTGTCGGGGGAGCATTACCGCTTCGTGAGCATGTGGATGGCGCGCACCTCCTACCTGGCGGCCTTCGTCATCATGGTCATCTTTGTGAGTGCGGCGGCGGCTGCAGGGGAGCGCGGGCCGGGCGGGGGCGCTGGGGGGTTGCGGGGCCGGGTCCGGCGGCCCTCCCCAGGCCTCACGCGGCCCCCTTGCAGACCCTGAGCGTATCCATGCTGCTCCGCTACTCCCACCACCAGATCTTCGTCTTCATTGGTGAGTTTCCCAGCCGGGCCGGCGCGCGGGCTCAGCCCCAGGCCCCGTGGCCCCTGCCCACCCCCGGCCGCCGGGCGCCTCACCCGGTCTGCCCACCCGCCGCCCTCTGCCCGCAGTGGACCTGCTGCAGATGCTGGAGATGAACATGGCCATCGCCTTCCCCGCCGCGCCCCTGCTGACCGTCATCCTGGCCCTCGTGGGTGAGTACCCCGCCCGCCCCTGCTGCCCCCCCCGGCTGCCCCGTCCAACGCCCCGGTCCCCGCAGGGATGGAGGCCATCATGTCCGAGTTCTTCAATGACACCACCACGGCCTTCTACATCATCCTCATCGTGTGGCTGGCTGACCAGTACGACGCCATCTGCTGCCACACCAGCACCAGCAAGCGGCACTGGCTCCGGTGAGCAGGGCGTCCGGGGTGGGGGGTGTCCGTGGCGGGCAGTGGCTCACCCCCCCCCCCCGCCCGCAGGTTCTTCTACCTGTACCACTTCGCCTTCTACGCCTACCACTACCGCTTCAACGGGCAGTACAGCAGCCTGGCCCTCGTCACCTCCTGGCTCTTCATCCAGGTCAGGCCCGCCTCCCTGTGGGGGGGCTGCCCTCGGGTCGTTGGGGGTTCCAAGGGCCGGGTTCGGCCCGGCCCCGCTGACCCGGCGCCCCCCGCAGCATTCCATGATCTACTTCTTCCACCACTACGAGCTGCCCGCCATCCTGCAGCAGGTGCGCATCCAGGAGCTGCTCCTGCAGACGCCCCCGCTGGGCCCCGGCGCCCCCACCGCACTGCCCGACGACCTCAACAACAACGGGGGCGCCCCGGCGGCCGCCCCCGACCCTGCAGGCCAGCCCGCCGCCCTGGGCCCTGGCTCGCCGGGTGGCGGTGCGGGCCCCGGGCCTGTGGCTGAGGCGCCCAGTTCCCTGGTGGCCGCGGCGGCCTCGGTGGCTGCGGCGGCCAGTGGCGACCTGGGTTGGATGGCGGAGACGGCCGCCATCATCACGGACGCCTCCTTCCTGTCCGGCTTGAGCGCCTCCCTCTTGGAGCGGCGGACGGCCAGCTCGCTGAGCCCCGGCGGGGGGCTACCGCGGGCCCCCCAGAACGCTCCCCCTCCAAGTGACTCCCTAGCACCTGACACAGCCGCCCCGGCCACTGGAGTGGGTGGCCCCAGCCCCGAGGCTGTGGCCCCAGCAGATGTGCCCTTGGACGTTGGCTCCTGAGCCCTGGGCGGCTGAACCTGTCCCTGGCCATCCCGACTGGCCGGGCGTGACCTGGCTGGAGCCCTCCGGCTCGGGGGAGCTGTGCCCCGGGGCCCTGGGAGCGCCCGGCCTGCCGCGGCTGGTGCCCGGGCCCACCAGGTTTGCCCAGAGGAGGGCTTCTCCCGAGTGTGGACTGTCCGAGGCTGCCCCTGCCGCTGCTGGTGGGCCCCATAGGAAACAGACGCAGGCCGATGAGCCGAGCAGGAGAGGGGGCAGGGCTCCATGGAAGGTTCTGGAAGGGGGTGGTGGAAGGTCTGGAGTGAGCTGTGGGGCAGAGCAGGGGGAGCAGGGGTGGGGGCCCGCGCCGTCCCGGCCCGGCGGCTGGTGCTCCGTCGTGCGCAGTGCCTTTTCCCGGGCCCCTGCCCCGTGTGCGCGCCGGGCCGGAGGGGCGGCGGCCGCGCGCGTCTCTCGCGAGGGAGGCGGAAGGCGCTCATTCCACTCTATTTAATTGCAGTGAACAAAATTGTGTTTGTATATAGAATAAACTGCTGACAGCGGCCCGCCGGCGGCTCGGTGTGCGCGTGCGTGTGCGAGCGTGCGGGGGGAGAGTTGAGGAGGGCCCGGGGCCGGCTCCCGGGCGGGCTGGCTTCTGCGCAGGCGCGGGCCGGCGGGGCGTGCTCCCCGCGGTCACCGGGCGGCCCGGGGCCCCTCCGCGCGGGCCCGGAGCAGGCGCAGCGGCCGGTGGCGGGCGCCGTCCCCGAGCTGGGCCAGGAGCTCCCCGCGCCGCGCCAGCGCCCGGCGCAGCCGCTCCCGCGCGCCCGCGATGCGCCGCTCCAGCGCCTCCAGCTCCGCCGGGCCCGCCTCCCGCTCGCTGGGCCCGGGGGCGCCCGTGGGCGGTGCGGCGAGCGGGCGGCCATTGGAGCGGAGCCAGACGGGGCCCTCGGGCGACCCGGCCGCGTCGGTGTCGGTGTCGGCGTCCGCGTCCGCGTCCGGGGCGGCGGCGGCCACTGCCGGTTCCAGCAGGAAGCGCACGCGACGCTCCCGCGCCACGGCCCCGCGCACCCGTGTGCAGCGCCCGGGACCCGCGGGGGCGGCCGGCGTGTCCCGCTGCTCCTCGGGAGCCCTGGGGACGGGGGGGCACACGGGGCTGGGCCGGTGTCGCCCAGGGCAGGGTCGGCCGCGCCCACCCACGGCCCGCCCTGCGCTCCGGGGTCAGAGTCCCCGAGGAGGGCGCGGCTGGCGTGGGCGGAGCTGTCCCGGTCCTCGCGTGGGGCGGGGGGCGCTTGAGGGCGGGCGTCGAACTGGGGGGTGGGCACCGACCCCGGGGCCCTTACCTGGGCTCCGGCTCCTCGGGCGGTTCCGTGTTGAGGGCGCGGTGGATCCTCTAGGAGCCCGGACAGGGGCGGCGGCGTTGGGGTCAGGCTGGGCCGGAGCCCGCCTCCACACCCCCCCGCGCCCGCCCCCGCGTGCTGCCCCTCACCTGGCTCGTGTGCAGCCAGTACTGCAGCTTGTTGCCCCTGCGGATGCGCGGCAGCGCCAGGCGGTAGAAGACGTGCTCGCCCAGAGAGCTCAGCAGGGCGCTGCCCAGGCCGAGGCAGAGCAGCACGAAGAGCCCCGAGAAGTGGTAGATGCCCATCTGGAGGGTCTGCGGGCCGAACGCGGGCAAGCCCTGCGCGGTCACGTCAGCCCTTTGGGGGGCCCTGGCCTGGGGGAGGCGAGAGTGGGACCAGAGGGAGGGGCCTGGGGCTGTGGAGCTGGACCAGGAGGCTCAGGCTCCTTGTTAAGGAGTGAGGTTTCATGGAGGAGAGGGCGCTGAAGCTGGGGTTTCGCAGGATGAATAGAAGTGCACAAAAGCAGACAAATCCACATCTTGGAAACGAGCATGGGGTTGGCCACTTCAGTCAAGGCCCACGCAGGCTCAGGGCCCCCACGCCTACCCCCGCCCTGTGTCCGGGGCCCCATCCCACCTCTGTAACTGCGAAGACCCTCTTCCCACAAGGCACCATCTTGTACCACTTGTCATGCAGCAGGTCGATGAAGCCTGACGACTTGTAGCGGCTGATGAACTCAGACAGGTTGGAGGTGAGCGGCGAGTTCTGGGGGAGGCCGATGCCATAGCCTGGCGGAGGCCGGGGCGGGGTTGAGGCCAGGCTGGAGGACAGCCGCAGGGGCGCTGTGCCCCCTCGAGCCCTCGACGGGTCCCCGCTGCCCCAGATCACCCGGCCCCAAGGCCTCTCACCCTCCATGGCGAAGGGCTTGCCCACGGTCAGCAGCCTGCAGTCGGCGTCGATGGACACCTCGTAGTCCAGGAGCGCCTTGTCCATGATGAAGGCGTTGAGCTTGGGGGGGTCGCTCCTGCGGGGCGGGGGTGCGGTGAGCGCAACGTGCCCAGAACGCCCCCACCGCCGTCGCCGCCGGCCCCGCCCCCGTCCTGGGTCCGCCGCCGGCCCCGCGGTCCCCGCCTCCGGCCCCGCCTCCCGCCCCCGTCCTGGCTCCGCCCCCAGCCCCGCCTCCCGCCCCCAGCCCCGCCCCGGCCTCACGTGAGCATGGCGACGCCGTGGGGCGTGGTGGGCGCGCCGTGGCGCCGCATGTGCGCGTGCAGCTCGGGGAAGCTCGCCTTGATGTAGGCCTCGGCGCTGCTCTCCCGCACGGTGCCCACGCGGAAGCCCTGGGACGGGTGGTGCAGCTGCGGGCCGCCCGCCGGTCAGCGCCAGGCCGTCCCCGCCCCGACGGCCCCCTCCGCCCGGCGGCTTGGGGCCGGGTCACTCTCTGGGGGGCCGTCCGGGGCGCTGTGGGGGGTCGGGCAGCATCCCTGGTCCCCACCCTCTCGATGCCAGCAGCGCCCCCAGTTGTGACAACCACAGACGTCCCCAGACGTGGTCCAGGGTCCCCCGGGGGGCAGAACCGCCAAGTTGAAAACCGCAGTTGTAAACTCCCGCACGTCCCTCTCCACGCAGATCTGACCATGAACCCCACTCCTCCTCCCGTCTCCCCTTGGGGTCCCACAGGCGCCCTAAGCTCACCACGTCCGAGACCCCCTCCCGATCTGCCCCCCAACCCCGGGTGCCCATGTCGTCAGCGCAGCTCCTCCCTCCCTCCTCCCTCCCTCTCCTCTCCACGTCTGTCCGTCCGTCCGCACGTCCCGTGGGCTCCACCTTCAGGACACCCGGCCCCTGCCCACTGTTCTGGGTCTCTGTGGTCCCCACCAGGCCGGGCCCACCGTCCCCCCAGCATCCCTCCTGGGCCAGCGCAGTCCCCTCGGCCGGTCTTGGTGCCACCCCGGGTCAGCGCAGGCTTCTAGTGAACGAGCGGGTGGTCACAGTGACCGGCGCCTCCTCCAGAAAGGCAGACCCGAGGCCCACCCGGTGGCGCAGCGGTTAAGTGCGCATGTTCTGCTTCACCGGTTCGGATCCCGGGTGCGGACATGGCACCGCTTGTCAAGCCATGCTGTAGCAGGCATCTTACACATAAAGTAGAGGAAAATGGGTACGGATGTGAGCTCAGGGCCAGTCTTCCTCAGCAAAAAAGAGAAGGATTGGCAACAGATGTTAGCTCAGGGCTAATCTTCCTCAAAAAAAAACCCAAAAACAAAAAAAGCAGACCCAAGTCAGTTGAGCCCTAGAGCAGTGCCACCTACCAGTCTCTGGCGGTGGAAGCACTCTGTCCCTGTGCTGTCCTCTCATGGCTGCTGAGCGCTTCCATCCACTGTGATTAACTTGAAAGGTAACCATGCCCGTGGCGAGCGGTCAGCCCATCGGCCAGCCCAGCGTCTGGGCTTTACTGCCCGTTTACGGAGGACACGGGCAGAGGCGGGGGGGCAGGACAACAGGCTAGACACCCCGCAGGGGACACAACCAGCCACATCCAGACAGTGGGAAACGCCACGGGACCAAAAACCCACGATTCTCCAACGAGCAAATCGGTGGGGAAAAGAGATGGAGAGAGAACCGGGATTCGAGGGGTTTCTACCATCCTCCATGTTGGCGTGTTTTGGGTCCAAATTCAAACAAACCGTGAAAAAAAAAAAAAAAAAAGACAACCGGGAAAACTGGCCCCTGACGTTTGCCAACATCCCCGGGATGTTTACGGGAAATGACACAGCGTCTGGGAGTTGTGTCCACGATAATCCAGCGCCCGGGGCTCGGTGTGGGCGCAATCGGTAGGGACGTGATTGTGGAGTTGGGCAATGGGCTGGTTCCCGGTGTCCATTGCTCCCTACTCAGGAATACTCAGGATTTTTCATTCAAAAAGAACAACGTGTGGAGTGGGGCATACCCCTGCTCTGCCTGCGGCCCTCCGAGGCTCCCGGCCAAAGTTCTGTCTCAGTCGGACCCACTTTCGAGGCCCAGGTCCTCCTGCATCCACGACACCTGCATGACCTGCCCCCTCTGTCCCCTCCATGCCCTCGCCCCTCGCTCACCCTGCTCCCGCCCCAGGACCTTTGCATGGCTGTGCCCTTTTTCTGCAACGGTCCTACTGACACCTACGTAAAAGTCCCTCAGACGTCACCCCCATTGAGAAAACGGCCCCCAGCCCTCCCTGTGTCCCCCCTCTGCCTTACTTTTCTCCCTGGTTCTTTGTCACCACACACACCAGCTATTTTCTCTGTCTTGACTCTTGCCATCTCCCCCTGGGGACGAGGACCTTGCCTCATTTTTGTCCCAGCTGCGTCCCCAGTGCCTGGCACACAGCAGGTGCTCAACAAACGTACACAGGAGTGGACGCCCACCTGGGGCCGGTCCCGGCCTCCCAGCTCTGCACCCCCCTCCCCGGGCCGTGTGGCCGCCCACCTTGGGGTCGTGGATCCCCGACAGCTCCTCAAAAGTCTTGTCGCCGACCATGACGGCGGCCAGGTTGGCGGTGTAGCTGGACAGCACGAGCAGGCAGAAAATGGCCCAGAGGTTCATGAGCAGGCGGCCCGTGGGGCACTTGGGCGTCTTGCTGGACACCGTGCGGCCAAAGAGGATGGCATAGCAGAGGTTGAGGGCCGAGGAGTAGGAGAAGACGGTGGCGCGGTTGCGGCCGCGGGGCGTGAGGCCGTAGGGGCTGCGCCACTCGTACAGCGTGAGGAAGAGCGCGGTGAGGTGCAGGGCCGTGAAGACGCCCAGCCACATGGACCAGTGCAGCGGCCACGTGAAGGCGCCCAGGCGCGAGGCCGTGTCCCGCGCGCGCACCAGGATGCCCAGGCTGGTGGAGAAGAAGGGGCTGCTGAAGTCCAACACCCGCGAGCGCGCCGAGTTGATGCTGAAGCTGGTGACGGCCATGTGCGCCCGGCCGGCCAGCAGGTCGCCCACCAGGCCGGTCCAGCGGCCGTCGCGCAGGGCGCCGTACTTGCCGTCGCCCACGATGTAGAGGTCAAAGTCGAAGGCCGCGTCCTCCGCCAGCCGCTCCAGCAGGTCGATGCAGTACCCGTAGCAGCACCTTCGCAGGCCGCGGGGCACCGAGCCGGCCGCCAGCGCCGCGAACAGCGCGTCCAGGGCGGCTGAGTCGTTGGTGCCGGGCGCCAGGCACAGCTGGCCAGCCGGGCACTGCCCGTCCTCGTCCGGCTCGCGGGCAAACACGAACGGGTGCTCCACCAGCGTCACCACGCGCAGCCGGGGCCGGGCCCGGGCGCCCGGCGGGGGTGGGGGTCGCACGGCCATGCTCCCCGGTTCCGGCTCCAGCCGCCCATCACGCCAGCTGCCCACGGTGGCCCAGGCCGGCGCACCCCGCGGGTCCCGGCGGAGGGTCCACACCTGGAAGCGCCGGGACATGTGCACCTGGGAGGAGCTGGTCACCCACACGGGCCCCGTGCGGCCCTGGAAGGACGTGTTGGCCAGGAACCTGGCGGGAGGCGGGGACAGGCATCAGGGGCCGGCGACGGACCCCCCGCGCCCCTCGCCTCTCTGAGCGCACACCTGGGGACCACAGTGGACGCTGTTGGGTCCCCCGCACCAGATCCCTGGACCGGCTGGAGCCCCCAGAACCTGGAGGCTGTGACCACAGCCCTGCCCGAGCCAACGACTGACCGCCAGGCCTGACGTGCTGCTGACTGTGGGGGGCGGTTCAGCTCCAGGGCCGGTGGGGGCTCAGGCCGAGGCCACTCCAGTGAGACCACCTCCCTGCTCAGCTCCTGCTCCCACCCTGAGCCCCCAACCAGGACCCTCGTCTCAGGCTCTGCTTCGCCCGAAGACAAGGACAGAACTACCTGTTTCATGGGGACAGTGCTCTGTATACAGCAAGTGCCCAATAATGCTGTATTTCCCAACTGCAGTCAGAGCCGCCCCCATGAGGGTCCCCACTCACCGCGCCAGGAAACGGCCCGAGGACTCGGACCCAGCTGGTGGCGGGGCGCCGCAGTCGACCGCGGCTGGGAGGAGGGTTCGCTCTGGCTGCACGCGGGCCGCGCTGCCCAGCGCCCGGGCCACCAGCTCCACGGCGTCGAGGACGGCGGCCTCGAGCGGGGGCCGCGCCGCCTCGCCCAGCGCCAGCAGCCCGGGCGACAGCCCCACGGTGGGCAGAGCCTGGGCGGGCAACGGCGTGCCCAGCAGCCAGCGGGGCCCCGGGGGCGCAGCCCGGAGCACGCGGAGGGCGCGGGCGGCCTTGCAGCCCAGGAGGACGGCCGCGGGGACCGGGACCGCGCCCCCCGCCGCCGCCCCCAGCGGGGCCAGGCGCGCCCGCAGCCCCACATCGCCCGCGGCCGGCCGGCTCAGGTCCAGCACGAGCTTCGGGGCTCGGCCAGCCCGGCTTGTCCACAGGGCCACCAGGCTGCCAGGGTCCCGCACGCGGCAGAGCGCCAGGCCGACGTCCTCCCAGGCGTGCGCCCGCAGCACCGACACCAGCACGTCCAGCAGCGTCTCCAGGGGGCTGGCCCAGTCCAGCTGCAGGTGGAACGGGTTCTGGGAAGGGGTGGGTCACCGTTAGGACTGGCCGCCTCCACGTCCCACCAGCCCCTTCCCGCCCCCATCGGCAGGTGTCCCCTTGATAACTGGACCTCGCGCCTGCCTCCTCCCAGACCCACTCCTGCTCTAAACTCTTCTGTGGCTCCCCATTGCCGTCAGCACAAAGCCCAGCCTCCTTGGCTTGGCATTCAGGGCCTGCTCTCTTATCTCCAGCCACTCTGGTGGTCCCCCAATTTGAGGCTTTTTCACATGCTGTTCCCCAGCCGGAATCCCTTTCTCCCTCTATGCCAGCCGACTCCTACACATCCTTCAAAAGCCAGCCCCATTGTCCCTGCTCTATCCAGACATCCTCGCCCCTCAGGAAGAACCCTGGCTCCTCTCTGGACTCTCCCAGCCTGGGCTCCCTCATTCACCCCGTTCCTGACCTCGCCCACCCCACCCTTCTGGGAGCCCCTCGAGGACCGAGGACTGAGGCTCCGTATCGTGAACTAGGCGATGCCCTCCTGCTCAGAGCCAACTTCCTCTTGGGACCCCTCCTGACACACCACCGCCCGGTGCCCACCAAGCCAGGGGCCAAGGGGCCCCCGGTGCCCAGCGGCACCCAGAAAGTTCTGGACTTCCTGAACCTGTGAATGACGAGGGAGCTTTGCCAGACACCTAAGGTGGGCAGGGTGTCCCTCGCTGGGGACAGGGCGCCGCGGGCTGTGGGAAAGGCTGGGGAAGCTGCTCAGTCCCTGGGGGCCAGAGTCAGTCCCCCCAAACCCGACAGTCCCCCCAGGGGTGCAGTTCCGGGAGGTGGCAGCAGAGGGCGCCACGGGCCTCGATCTGGGTCCCCATCTCTCCTGGGGGGGCAGGGGTGAGGGGACCCGCCTGCCACAGGGACCACCGGGTAGTGACCCCAGGCGTCCCCGAGGACAAGGACAGGCTGAAGGGGCTCCCAGGAGGGCTGGGAGGGAGGGAGGCCCTGCCAGCCCCCGTGCCCCACGTTGGGCCCCTCCCTGCTGGCCCTGGAGGGGGCCTTCCCTGGGGCACAATGGGGTCCCCACAGCTCCGCCAGACACCCTCTGTCCTCCTTGTCCCATCTTCCCCTTGTTCGGACCCCGGTCAGGGCTTGGGGGTGGAACCAAGAAGAGAGAAGACACTGCCAAGACCCGGAGGGGGTGGAGGAGGGCAGAGGGGCTTGGGGTGACAGGGACACGAGGGGGCCATCGAGGAGGCTGTGGGGTGGCGAGGTCTCAGGGAGGACCCTGGAACGAGGAAGTCCTGGACACGCAGCCCCCAAAACTGCCCGGCGGGAGAGCCAACAAGGAGACCCGCGTCCCCGTCCCAGCCCCGCAGCCCTGCGCGCCGGGACCGGGAGGCGCCCTCGGACCGGGAAGTGGGTGCGTCCGGGGACCGAAGGGGCAGCGGCTGCGGGGCCGGGACTCCACCCCAGGGCCCGGGGGACGGGGTCTGCACCCGAGTTCTGTGGGTTCCGCCCTCGGGGTCCAGAGGCGTCCCACTGGGTCCGAAGCTGCAGGTCCGGGGCTCTGGGTCCCCGGGCCCCTGGACTCCTGCCTCCGGTTCCAGGTCCCTACGCCCCGGGAGGCATCCGGGGTCCAGGACCCGAGAGACGGCCCCCGTCACCCGGACTCCTGGGCATCCTCGGGGGCCTCTGCATCCAGGGTCCGGAAGTCCGGGTCCCGTGCGCCCCAGGGACTCCGGCATCCGGCCCCCCGGTCTGCGCGCCCAAGAGCGTCCCCGGGCCTCCCTCGTCCGACCCCCGGGTCCGCGCGCCCCCAAGAGCATCCCGGGGCCTCCGTCGTCCGACCCCCGGGGCCCCGCGCGCCCTGACGCCCGCGCGCCCGTCCGCGCGTACCGGGGCGCCCAGGGGCTCGCGCGCCTCCCGCCGCAGCACGCTGAGCACGGGGGTCTCGGCGGCGGCCGCCAGGAAGTGCAGCTGCAGCAGCTCGGGCCGCGCCCCGGGGAAGGCGAGCACGGCCGCCACGCCCGGAGCCGCCAGCGCCCGGCACAGGCCGCGGGCCAGCGAGGCGGGGTCTCGGGCGGGGGCGGCGGCAGCCACCAGCTCCAGGCTCAGGTTGCGCGGCAGCCGCGGCGCCAGGGCGGGGGCCAGGGCCAGGGCGGCGCGGACGCGGGCGCGGGCGGCGGGCGCGCGGGGCAGGAGGACGCCCAGGCGCACGGAGCCCCCCGGGCGCGCAGGGACCCCGCACGGCTGCGGGTGGCCCCCGGCGGGCCCGGGCCCCAGCGCCAGCGCCAGGCCGAGCCACAGCGCGCGCACAAACTCCATCCCCAAGTTGCGGGCGGGGCGGAGCGGCCGGGGCCACCGCGCGGGAGGCGGGATCGCAGCCCGGCCCCGCCGCGCCCTCCCCGCCCCGCCGGGCCGCGCACCCCTCCCTGCCCGGGCCGCCGCCGTGCGCCCTCGCCGCCTCCGGGTCCCCGAGCCGGGCACCCCCAGGGGGAGCGGACCCCCACCCACGGCGGGGAGCCGAGGCGCCAGGTCCACACCGCGCGGGGCAGTGGTGGGCGCGGGAGCTAACCACTGCTCTTCCCCGCTCGTGCCAGGCCGCCTACGCCCCACTCTACAGACGAGGAAACCGGGGCGCAGCACCCGGGAGGGTCTTGCATCAAAATCGACCCCCAAGCTCACCCCTGTTTCCTCCCGGGATCCCCCCATCTCCTCTCTGGCTTGTGAACGCTGCCCCTTGTTCAGTCAGGGAAACTGAGGCCGCGGAGGGGTCGGGATTTGCCCTGCTGTGGTCACACAGCAGCCCCTCCCACCTCCAAGAAGCAGCGTCTACCCAGACCCACCCATCTGGGTTCTAACATCGTGTGCACCCTGGGGAAACTGAGGCAGCTGTTTGATGGGAAAGCTATAGGGTGGATCTTCTGCCCTCCAGCCATGGGCAGGCAATGTGGGCCAGAGAACTCCTCTTCACCCGGCAAGACCCAGTGCCAAATGCCCTTACTCTGAAAAACGTTCCCTGCTTGTCATCCAGGAAGATGTAGAACGCACCCCCTACCCCGCCCCCAGCTTTGACTCCATCACAGTGTTTCCTTTCTGTTCACTGATTGCTTTCTGGCCGTATCCCCGACTCAACTCTGGGAGGGTGATGGCTTGTTGACTGCACCATGTCCAGGGCTTGCACACAGTGGGCACTCACTAGTTGCTTGTTGCTTGAGTCACTGCCCAGACAAGGACACTCAGCTCCATCAGCCTCCACCGCTCCAGAACCTTCTGTAGCTCCCGCCGTCCAGCGACCCCCAGCCGCCTCCTGTGTCCTCTGGGCCTCCCCAGGTCAAATGGCCAGGGGTCCTCGGGGCCCTGGCAGGAAGCAGGCGCTCAGTAAATGCTGGCAGCGCCCTACCCGGATCCTCTCGTCCCATCCTCCCTGGGGGTTGGGGGGAGGGGAGAAAGCTGAGTGTCCCCCGGCATCCCGGGGGCAGCAGGACGGCGGGTCCAGCACGGAACATTCCGGCCCCGGTGAGTCCACACTTGGCTGCGTTTTCACGCGCGGGAAGCGTCTCCTCTTGGAGCCAGTGACAAACCTCCATTAGAGAGATGAAGACGCCAAGTGCCAGCCAGGCGCACGGACCGAATGCAGGGACAAGCGTAATGGGGGGGCTGGGCTCCAGGGGACAAGGAGGCCAGCTCCTCCAGCCACCCGGCCAGGCCTCGCGGGACGGGGAGGGTCCTCACCGGAGGCCACCGCCCACCTGGCTGGTCCTGGGTGAGGCACCAGGTTATAAAGTGTCCTCAGGAACCCCTGGGGCCTCATCCCACCCTGGGGTACGGTCCCTCGGACAGCGTCAGAATAGGGACCCATCCTGGTAGGTGACACTCCCTCCCGGCAACCTGCCCCTCGGCACACAGCAGTCGGTCAGTCAGTCAGTCAACAAACATTGGTTCTGGGGAGGCAGCTGCCGCCTGCATTGCTCCCGCGACTCACACAGGGGCGCCCTCCGAAGCCGCCGCGTCTGTGCTTCGGCCGCTGCCCCCGCCTTGTCCCGAGTCCCACTTGGCCCTTGTTTCCCCACCATCAGGGGCAGCGATGAAGGACCCGGGTTCACAGAACCTCTGCTGCCTGCTGTGTGACCTGGGGCGGCTCCCTGACTGCTCTGTGCCTCAGTTTCCTCATCTTTACAAGGGCGATCGTCGTTCCTGCCTCCTGACTCCCGTGCAGATTAAACAAGGGAACATGTGGTGGTTTTTTGTCTAATTGTGGTAAAACGGACATAAAATTCACCGTCCCCACCACTTTCAGTGCACAGCTCAGCGGCATGAAGCACATTCACACGGTTGTGCCACCGTCCCCTCCATCTGTCTCCAGAACCTTCCATCTCCCCAAACTGAAGCTCTGTCCCCATGAAACACTGACTCCCACCCCTCCCCCAGCCCCTGGCCCCCCGTTCAATTTCTGTCTCTGTGGCTGTGGCTCCTCTGGGGACCTCCTGTGAGTGGACCACACAGTGTGTGTCCTTCTGTGTCTGGCTCATGTCACTGAGCATCACGTCCTCCAGGTCCATCCACGTGGGAGCAGGCGTCAGGACCTCCTTCCTTTTCATGGCTGTGTAATATTCCAGGGTGTGGATGGACACACTGTGTGGATCCATCATCCGTCCACGGACACTCAGGGTGCGTCCACCTTCCGGCTGCTGTGGACACGGGGTGCAGACGTCTCTTCAAGTCCCTGCTTCCCACTCTGTTAGGTCTACACCCAGCGGTGGACTTGCTAGGTCACGCAGTCATTCTACACTGATTTTTTGAGGAACTCTGGCCGTTCCCACAGCGGCTGCCCCGTGTCGCGTTCCCATCAGCCGTGCACGCCTTCCTCACCGACACTCGTTTTCCGTTGTTTTGGGTACGGCTGTCCCCGCGGCTGAGAGGCGGTGTCTCGCTGTTTGGCACAAACTCAGCAGGACTCGGGGGTTGCGGTGAACGTCGGTGCTGCCGGCATCTCGCCTGCGAGGACCGCCCAGGACTCGGGGTCAGGCTGCTCCTCTGGGGAATGCGTGCGATCCTCACCGACGGGATGACAGTCGCAGTCATGGCGTCAGCTGCCGCCCCCCAGCTCCGCACAGGCTCCCTGCAGGCCGGGACGGGGGGCGGGGCGCTTTGTTCCCTTTGTAGTTGGGGAAACCGAGTCTGGGAGCCAAGTGGGGCTCACGCAAGGCCACGTGCTGACTTCGGGCTGGATGGGGCAGAGGTCAGCAGGTTCCGGGTCCCCCACCCGGCTGTGTCCTCCTTCGCAGCACGGCCAGCTGGCCGCTGTCCCGAGTGGGTGGACAGGCGACCTTCCAGGGTGGCACTGCGCGGGCACAGGGATGGCGCGGGCTGGAGGCGGTTTGCATGTCAATGCGCGGCCTTCCCCGGCAGACTGGCCGCCGCATCTGCGGGCCTGAGTCAGAACCGGTGACTGCCCAGTGTGGGGACCCCACCCTCCCTGCCCGCAGCCCCACGGGAACACGGCCCTCAGGTCCCCTGGGCCCCCAGCCCCGGGGTCAGGTCGGGTGGACGCATAGGGAGGAACTCCGGGCCCCGCCGAGTGGGCAGCTGAGGGTCCGGAGCGGCGCTGGGGGCCTGTGGCCCTGGGAACCCTTGGGGGTTCAGGGGCACTGGGAGCAGCCCCCCCGGGGAAGAATCTGGAGCGAGGGAGGCGGCCACCAGACAGAGGCCTGGACCTCAGCCACTGGGTGGCCACCTGCCAGCTGCCGCCTGGGCCTCAGCCAGATGCAGGCGGCCGCACCAGGCGTCCGGGACAGGCGGCCGATCTCCTTCCGGCCGGCCGTCAGCCACACGCGGGTGCGGGCAGCCGAGGGGGAGCAGGTCTGGGGCTGCGGCTGGGGCTCTCCCCGGGGTCAGGGGTCAGTGGGTGTCGGGCCGGCAGGTGAGGGGCCCTTGGCCTTTGGGGAGCCTGATCCCTGACTCCCGGGAGACCAAGGGCAAGGGCGGACCGGGCCCTGGGGAGGGGGTCGAGCTCCCAGACCCTGCTGGGCACTGAGTGGCCGCCAAGGGGCCCCGGACTTGCTATGACCTCGTCCTGCTTCCGGCCCAGAGGGGCCACTGGAGGGGCTCCTATGATGTGGACCCCTGCCAGCCAGCAAGACCCCTCACCAGCCATAGACGCTGGGCCCGGGGCCACGGGGGTGAGTGCACAGGGGGAGCCTGGTGCCACCCGGGCTCCCTGGTGGCGAGGGCCCCGGGAGGGGACGTGAGTCAGGCTAAAAGCCTGAGCTGAGGGCGCCGTGGGCTCCAGGCTGGTTGTTACGGCACTGACTACGTCACGTGGGTTTTCTGGATCATGAGACCCAGCTGTCAGTTCGGGGCAACTTTCTGGAAGGTTCCACGGGCAGCCTTGGGGTCAGGGGTCTGGGCTGGGCTCCAGGTACTGGCTGGCAGTGACCCCAAGGCAGTGGGGTCGCATGGCCTCTCTTGGGCCCTTGACACAGGTGATAATGTTCTGGGCGAGCTGTCTGGGCGCATGTCCCCCTGGGGGACCCTGCCCAGAAACGGACACCACCTCAAAGCCAGCTGCCCTGACCCAGGCTGGGCGGACCCTCGGGTGACCACCAGAGGGACAGGCAAGGCGTGACCACACCACAGTAACTGCATCACTCTTGCCCCAAGGTCCCTCCCTCCGAGGCCCTGACGGTGGTGCAAAGGCACTGGGGCAGCGGAAACGCGTCTGGAAAGTCACAGAACCACAGCTTCTTAAAAACAGGTTTATAAAATCGGACTCGGCGTGCGCTCCAGTGAGTTCCGCTGGGGCGGGCCCAGGCCTCCGGGGTGCGGCACGCGGAGGCCCAGAGAGAAGGGACCTTAGGGTTTTTGCTAAAAACAGAATGGCACCACGTGACACACGACACCGCTGGGTGAACACTCAGACGACACGGCCCCACACGGGGCGAAAGTCCAGACAAAACGGGAACGAAGAGGGGCGAGTTGGGCCCGGGGCGGCCGGGGTCGGGGTCCGGGGTCCGGGTCCGCGCCCCGCGCTCACTTGGCCGGCCGCGTGATGATGCGCGTGGAGAAGTCGAACAGGTCGCGGTTGATCTTGCGCAGGTTGCGCACCTCGTCCTCCAGCTCCGTCACGCGCACGCGCAGCTGCTCCTGGCCGCCCAGGACGTTCTGCCGGAGGCGGGGAAGGGCCGGGCTCAGGGCGCGCGGGCCACGGACACGCGGGGCCGCAGCGAGGGTGACGGCCCCACGGCCCGGGACACAGGGCAGGGAGCGGGCGGAGTCAACTGCTCCCGGCGCGGCCCGGCCCGGCCCCAACCCTGGCCATCGCCTCCACGGCCCGCCCCCCTCATGGCCCCGGCCCACCTCCTCCATGGCACCCCCTCCCCAGGCTCTGCCCACTTTCCCTGGCCCCACCCCTCCCTCCTTCGCCTCGCCCCGCCCATCTTCTCCATGGTGCCGCCCACCTTGCGCCATGGCCCCGCCCCTCCACCCCGCGGCCCCGCCCACCTTCTCCATGGTGCCGCACATGACCGCGTGCAGCTGCTCCGCGCGCTGCAGGTAGCTGGGCTCCGAGCCCTGCAAGAGGGACGGGGCTGTGTCAGCACCTCGCCTCCCGATGCCCTCTCCCCATCCCGTCAGTGCTGGCCGCCACCGTGCCCCTGGGGAGCCATCCTGAGGCCACTGACAGATGGGGAGACTGAGGCTTGGAGAAGGGCCTGCCAGCCAGGCACCCGGCCTCTGCCCAGGCCACAGGCACCGTGCCCAGACAGTGTCCAGCAGGAGATGGACAACCTCTCCGTGGCAGCAGCACTGTCCATCTCGCCGAGCTCGTCCGTGAGGGACGCACAGAAACCGGGGTCAAGAAGGCTCCAGAAGACGGCCAGCCGGTCAGCTGGTGCCTCCAGCCCGCGGAGAGGGCCTGCCTGGCTCAGCAAGATGGACGATGGTGCTGCCACGGGGAGGCCGTCCGTCTCCTGCTGGACACTGTCTGGGCACACTGCCCGTGGCCAGCGGACAGGAGCCTGGACACTGTCTGGCATGCTGCCTGCAGCCGGGGGCCAGGAGCCTGGCAGAGCCACCCATCAACCATCTGCGGGAGGGGCCTGCCACCCCCGCGGGGCTGGTGTGAGGCCACCGCGTGGAAACAGTGGACAGAAGGGCACAGAGCGTGGGCTGAGTGCACAAGGCCAGGCCCCGCTGGACACACGCAGCACCTCTGGTCAGGCCGCTCTGAACACCTGGACGCGCTGCGTGCGTCTGTGGTGGGGGCGGGCACGCACCTGCTGGTGGAGGCCCAGGCGCAGCGTGAGGCCTCCGCGGTGCGGCTCGTCGCCGTGCTCGGCGCCCAGCAGGTGCTTGTTGAAGTGCGGCAGGGGCAGGCTGGGCCTGAAGTCGGAGCTCAGCATGCTGATGGGCGCCAGCATGATAGAGGCGTTGGTCACGGGGCCTGTGGGCACCGCTGGTCAGGCTCGGCCAGGCCTGGGCCTGGGCTCCCGCCCTCTTCGCTCCCCCGCCGCGTCTAGGAAGGGCCCTGACTGCTGCCCCCTCCACTGGGCGGGACCCTGGGCCCTTCCTCCCAGACACCGGGCCAGAGATGACGGGCGTTTATGGAAGAGCCACACGGTTTCAGGCCTCTCGGAGGAGCTCCGGGGACCCCATCCCTGAGAAGGCCGGGCCCCACCTTTGAGGGTCACCGTCCTGACACACTGCTTGCTCTGCACGTCCCACAGGCGCACGGTCTCGTCGTGGGAGCCCGAGAGCAGCACGCTGCCGTCAGTGGACACCGACAGACAGGTCACCTGGTTCCTGGGGACAGACAGGCCCGAGACAGGGCAGCACAAATGACCCCCGACCCAAGAGCAAGAGAACAGGGTGTCTCCCACCCCCTGACCCCGCACCTGTGCCCTCTGAACACCTTCCCGCTGTCCTGTTCCGGCTGGAAGCTCTTCTCTCTCTGCCCGGGCTGCGGAGGCGGAGAGGGCCAGTGAGCAGAGGGACTCACGGGTGACGGGGGGCTGAGTGGGGGCCACAGTCTGGGAGGGAGCACAAGGCCCTGGCCGCAGGGAGGAGGGGACCCCGGGTGGCCCACAGCCCCTCAGTCCCCAACCCCGGGCGCCCCGACGGCTGCCCCCGCCACTCACCCAGGTGCAGAGGTCGACCTGGAAGATGGAGCCGTCGCTGCCGCCGCAGAACATGTGATGCTCGGCCAGGTCCATGGTCACCGCCATGATGCCCACGTCGAACAGCACGGACAGCAGCAGCTCGCCCGACGAGACCTCCCACAGCTGGGGGCGGCGGGCATGTGGGACGGGGCTCCGCGGGCACCGGGGGCCCGTGCTGGTCTAAGCAGGGCAGCCCTGACCGGAAGACGCTGCAGCCCCGAACCTCAGACGGAGCCGTCACCCACAGGGGTCTGGGGGCCGAGGAACTCGGCCTTCCCCAAGGTGGGCCCTGGTTCTCACGGCCAGGACCCCTTACCACTGCCAGCGTTAGCCGCCGTCAGCCCCCAGGCCACCGGCCGGTCAGCCCTGAAAGTCCCCCCAACCCCCTGACCATGACAAAGACTTGAGGGCCGAGACGCCCTCAGATCCCCTGAGGTCTGGGCAGGCAGCCACCGGGCACGGGCGGCCAAGTGGGAATTTCCGAGCCAACAGAGGCCTGGACCGTCCACCTCCAGACGTCCTTGAAGCTGGAAGCACCAGGGGGATTAAGGGCTGTCTGGAGCCGCCAGCCTGGGGGAGGAGGCGACGCACCGGCTCACGCCGGCCAAGATCCTGCCAGCTGCCAGATCCACGGCGGGAGGGGCCCTACCTTCACCGTCTGGTCCAGCGAGGCGGTGGCCACCCGGGCCAGGGGCCCCCCGAGGCCACAGTGCAGGTCTGTGATAGGGAGGGTGTGGCGGGACCAGACGTGCCGGGGGGCTGGCGTCCTGGACGGGTCCACCTGCAGCACGCTGCGGGGAGGAGCGGACCTCAGGGGGGAGGCCCCGTCCCGATGCCCCCGCCCTCGGTGCCCCTCGGCCCTGAACAAACCCACTGCCCTCACCCACCTCACACCAGCCTGCCCAGAGTGCAGCCCCTCCCGCCAGGGGCCCTGGCACGGCCTCTCCAGAGAGTGGCTCCCTGCCCCCTCCACTGTGGCCTCGCCAGCCGGGGGACACAGACCACACGCTCCGCAGCTGGACGCAGAGCCCGCCGTGGGGGCCGGAGCGCTACCTGCAGAGGCTCCACACCAGCACCAGGCAGTCCTTGCCCCCCGACAGGAAGTGGCTGCTGTCCCCCGTGAACTGCAGGCATGAGATGTCCTGGTAGTGGCGGCTGAGGATGACCAGCAGGTTCCCCGTGGAGACCTGCGGGGGAGGGCGCTCGGGTCAGGGCTGGAAACGGGCGCAGCTCCGGCCCCCCTGCCGCCAGGTCCCGGGGGAGGCCGCCCCGTCGATGCCCGGGGCCTGGGCTGGCGGTACATGGCCGAGTGTGGGGTCTGAGATGAGCAGGGAGGCTGGTGGGCTGCACCACCCCCGGCCGTCCTGGGCGCCTGTTGCTGCCGGGTCCCCACGTGGATGACGGCCAGCCGGGAAGGGGGTCGGGTCTCGCTCCTGCTCCCACCCCCTCGTTCACAGTCACCCTGACCACTGAGCCCTGGGCCACAGCCCACGCGCGGACCCCCGCCCTGCACAGGCTCAGGGGTGGTGTCCTGGTAGCCCCCAGGGCGGGACCAGCTTTCTGTGGGGTGAGTTGCAGCCTGTGGGTCCCTCAGGGCCAGCCAGATCGGGATCCACGGCCGGCCCCCCAGGATGATTCTGTCAGCGGGAAGCGGCCGTCCTCCCAGTGGCCTGCTTTGTGGGAGGGACTGTGGTGTTGGGGGGGGTGACACTGATGCTCTTGTGGGTTGAACTGTGTCCCCCAAATACACACGTTCACGTCCTAACCCCGGAACCCCTGACCTTAGCTGAATACAGGGTCTTTGCAGGCACGGTCACTTGAGACGAGATCACACTGAAGGAAGGCGGCCTCAAATCCAACGGCTGGTGTCCTCGTGAAGGGGACATTTGGATACACATGTCCCTTGCGCCCCCAGTCCCAGCTCTAAGGCTTTCCGGCCCCCCCCCCCGGCCCCTCCTCACCCCCGCAGAGGGAAACGGGGTCAGCAGAGGCGGAGCATGAGTCAGGCCGGCCTGCTGGAACCCTCAGCCTGGGCTCCTGCATCTGGCTGGCCGTGTGGGACGCCCCCTCGTGGTCACGGCTCCTGCTGGTCGGGAATTCTGCAGGGGTTTGGGGAGGACAGCCCCCACTGGCCAAGAGGTACCACAGACTGTCCCCCCTCAAGGAGGGGCAAGGCCCTAAGATGCCCCCGATCACGGGACAGGCCACTCATTTCTGCCCACGGCCCTGCACCAGGCTGACAACGACCAGGGTGAGGATTTCTACCGTGATGGGTCACCTTCGAGGAGCCCCTCCTTGCCTCAGTTTCCCTCCCTGCACCTAAGCGACTGCTTCCCGGTCTCAGAATCACACACCGAGGTCTGAACGCCCTCGGGCTGGCAAACCTCTAGGGGAGGCGCGCAGGAGCTCAGGGAAGCAGAATGCGGCTACCCCTCCGTCTTCTGGCACAAATCTCGCACTGAGACTGTGCGGGAGGTGCGGCGGGTCCCCCCCAAACTCACCGCCTGTCCGTGATGACTCAGTGGGTGGTCTAACCCAGCACCCCAAGGCCACCCCCCCCTTAGGCTCTCCTCTGACCTCCCACAGGTATATGCTCTCTGCGATGCCCGCCAGGACGTAGAGGCCATTGGGCGACGTGGTCAGACAGGTGACAGGCCCGGGGCACATGATCTTCTGCTGGAGCTGGTCCTGGAGGAACAGAAGCAGGCTCTGTGCTCCGTGCAGAATGTGGGAGCTAGGCTAGGGGGCGGCGGGGAGAGGGGGACGGGGCGCCCGAGAGAACCAGAAAGAGGAGTGGGCACAGGGGTGTTTGAGCAAGGAAACGTTTGCTCCAGCCGAGGCTTTGCAGGGTGCAGGGCGAGGCCAGCGCATCCTCGGATAAAAGCAGAATGGTGCTTGGTCTGGGTGGGGGGCCAGAGAGACCCCCGTGGGGGCGGGGAAGGCACTGAGGGCCCAGGAGGGCGCCGGGGCCAGAGAGCCCAGTGGCTAGTCGGCTTGTGCCCCAATCCTGCCTCCCCTAATCCTCAGGGGAAACAGCCCGCCCGCCCCAAGAGACGTCGGCTGGAGGAACGGGGGGCCAGCAGCTCCAGGGGCTGCCTTTTGGGGTTTCTGCAAGAGGAGAAACCGTGAGCCCTCATGGCGAAAAGCAATGTTTCTTTTGGGGGGCAATACACGTATGAGTCTCCCGGGCCCGGACCTTCACCCGCCCAGACCCACGGAACCCCCACAATGCTTTCTCCCCGTAGTCAAACTTCGCGCCCGCTCGTGCGCAGCGCCCCACGGCCACCCCCTCCTCCCCCCAAGCCCTCCGTGTGCGCGTGCGCAGGCCGGCGCCCCCGTGAGACCCGCCCCCCACGCTCAGCCCCGCGCGTGCGCCGAGCGCCCTAACCGACCCCACCGCCCCGAGCGCGCGCCTCCCTCCCAAGCCCCCAGACCCGCGCATGCGCAGAGCCCCCGGCCCGAGACTCTTCCCCCCCTCCCCCCCCAGCCCCGAAGCAGGGCGCGTGCGGCCGACCCACCGACCCTTCCCCGACCCCGGTCGCGGGCTCCTCGCGCACAGGCCCCCGGCCGCGCCGCCCACCTTCCGCTGCAGCTCCCAGGCGTTGATGTAGTTCTTGCCCAGCTGCGCCGCCAGCAGGTACTCGCCGTTGAGCAGCGCCAGGCCGCGCGGTCCGGCCTGGCCGCCGCGGTAGGTGAGCAGGTTGGCGCCCGAGTGCAGCTCCCACACGACGCAGCTCCACAGCTGTGCCGCCGAATCCGTACACACGGCCACCTCCATGGGCGCCGCCATCTTGCTGCCTCCACCGCCCCGGATGTGCGTCATCACCAGCGAGACGCGCGCGACCGCGCCGCGCCGGCCAGAGCGGCGCCCACGCCGCCCCGCCCCCGGCGTCGGCCCGACTCGCGCGTGCGCACTGGCCTCGGGGAGGGGGCTGCGCTGTGAGCGGAGCTTTTTTCCCGCTCTGGGCATCATCGGGGGGCAGCTCCGATCGGTTGGAGATCTTGGAAGGAGATCGCCCCCGAAACAGACGGAGAAACCAAGTCCCGGGGTGCCCTGCGGGCAGTTATAGCCTCAGAGCCTGGACGTCTGGCGGGGCCGTTTCCGCTGGGCGCTTTTTAGCCAAGTGACTCAACCTTTCGGATCCTTTTTTTAAATGTGCAAATAATAACCTACCGACCTCGCAGGCCTAAATGAGGCGTTGCACGTAAAACGCAGACTACGTACCTAACGTGACAGCTTGTCTAGCTGCCGCGCAACACGTTGTCATTAAATGCGTGCTCATGGATGCGCCATCTGCCTCCTCGGACCCCTTTTCTTCGGGGGCCGCAAAGTCCCCGTTTGTATTTCAGCAGCTCCGTGCGGGTCTAACGAGCCGCGAGCTCGAGGAGCGCGTAGCCTCGGCCACGGCTGCCGGCCCCGGGCCGCGTCTACACCGTGTATTTTAACGTGCCGAACGTGTTGCCAACCTCTGAAAACGCAGAAATCGATTAAAAGCGGAGCTGTCCCGCTCGGCAGATCGGCTGTCCCGGGCGGGGTCCCCGCGAGCCACATCGGGGGGCACTGGAGCCCCCGCCCCCAGCCACCGGGGGCGTCACCGGAGCCGGCGACCCCGCAGCGCGATCCAGGGCGAGGGGACGGGCGCCCAGAGCGGGGGACCCGCAGGCGCAGCCCCGGCCGCCAGGTGGCAGGCGTGAGCCACCGAGCGGGAGGGGACCAAGGCGTGAAGCAGTTCTGCGGAGGGGGGGGGTGTCCCGGGGACCAGCCTGGTTCGGGGGTCCAGGGGAGGGGCTTCCCAGAGGAGGTGTCGCTTGAGCACAGAACTAACAACCTAAAGAGAAGGGTGGGCGGAGGCCCGTGCAAAGGCCCTGAGGCCAGACCATGGCGGGCAGGGCAGCTGGGCCATCCAGAGCCTTGTGGGCAGTGGGGAGCCTGGATTTTATTTTATCCCCGGGGGAGGGGGACATAGGAAACTGAAGGACTTTTGAAAGTTGAGGCAAGCCAGGTGTCCAAAAAGTTGAGCCCCAGCAGCTGCCAAATGGGGAAAGCGAGGCAGGGACCACCTAGTCCAAAGAAGGGTGGGAACTAGAACCACCTGTTCGTGACTTCCACCCCCAGAACCGGCTGATGCCCCCGGGTTTCTCAACTGTTGGGTTTTTTTTCAGAGAGTGACTAAGAAAAAGGAAACGCCTGGAATGCTCCTTGACGCTTTTCAAAGCCCGGTTCCCCCAAACCTCCTCTCTCCTTGAATCCTGACGCCCCAGGACTCGGCCCGACCCGCTCTGAGAATGGCCCCCCAGTGCGGCTCCCGGGGGGGGTGGGTGGACGCGGCACTTCTGAGCCGTGCGCGCGGGTCACCAGGCAGCTCCGGGCCTCAGTTTCCCCACCTGCAAAGCGCGGGCGGGGGCTGGGGGGTGGGATGCTGTGGTCCCCACGGCCAGGGGATTCGGGGCCCTGGGTCTGCGTCCCCGGGGTTCCAGGGCGCAGGGGCGGCCCCGCAGGACTGGGGCGCAGGAGACCGACTGTGCCGACGGGGGTGCGGCCGGAGAGCGGGGTCAACTTCCCGCGGCAGCTGGATCGCAGCCGCGGCCCCGCGCAGGCCTCCCCTCCCCCTCCCTCCCGGGGGACCCAGCCCGGCCAGGCGGCGGCGCGAGGTCAGAGGTCACCCCGCCCCCAGCCCGGCTCCCGGAATGAGGACAGACCAGTTGTGTCAGGAGCGCAGGACAAAAGCCCTGCTCCGGGGGCGTCTCGGACCACCCAGTCGCCAGACCTCCTCGGTGCCAGCCGGGCGCCCGGCCCCAAAGCCAAGGCCGCGAGCGCGTGGCAAGGTGGCGGGAGCAAGATGGGGGAAACTGAGGCACAGAGGCCCGCACGACCCCCTCCACCGGGTCTACGCCCCGCGGTCTCCGTTCCCCACGCGCTTAGGGACCACCTCCCGTCTGCGGGCGGGCGCTGGGTGCGCGCGGACCCGCCGGACCAGACCCCGCCGTTCCCGCGTCCCAGCCCAGCGCCCACGCCGCCCGGGGGACCCGCCACCGACCCCCGCAGCCCCGCCGTGCGCTCGTGGGGGAGGGAAAGGCACAGGATTCCGTCAAAACCCTCTTTTTTCCGCGTCCTCTCGGCACCTCCCATCGGACCGGGTTTCACGTTTCACCTCCGGGAGCCTCCGGCCTCCGAACCAGCGCAGAGCTGGGGGGCCCGGGAGGGGGGCGACCCCGCCCTGCGCCCCCAGGAGCTGTGTGACCTCCGGGCCTTTTGCTCCCTCTCTGAATTCCTCTTCAGCCCAGGAATGAAGGTGCTGGACTGGCCGATCCAGTTTGCCGGAAATGCCCTTTTATTGAAAAAAAATCACATTTTCTTTATCTCCCTGGGGGGGGAGGGGGCAGGGGGCTCTGAGAGGCAGGTGGGCTGACCTCTGTCCTCTGACCTCTGATCCCCAGATGCGGCCACTCCTGTCTGGCGCGAGTGAGAAACGGGCCACAGGGAGGCGTGTGGGAACCGGCCGCCGCCACAGGAGGGCTGGTTGTTTGTCCCTCGGTCTGAGGGCAGCCTTGGGGGCCGACCCAGGCAGGAGGGACCGGCCCGGGCCGGCTGCGGCCGGCGCTGGTGGCAGGAGCGCCAGGTGGCAGGAGGCTGGGCCTGCCCACCGTCCGGCCGCGCTGACCTTGAGTCTGTCGTATCTGGTCCTCTGGGCTCAGGGGACACAAGGGGGGACGTGGATCGGACACCCCTGGAAGCTTTTCCCGCCCCAATCGTGCCCACGTTTGGTCTATTGGGAGGCAGACGACACGGGGCTTCCCTCCCATGGGCACCAAGTCCAGGGGTCACAAAATGCAGCCTGAGGGCCGACTGCACCCCTGGGGCTGGTTTCTGTGGCTACTGAGAGGTGACAATGAGCCAGACCACGGCGTGAAGGCTTGGGGGGAGCTGGGGAAGCCCCATGACCTCCACCCGGGGGTGGGGGGGGAAGGGCCGGCGGGAGGTGTGTGTGGAGCAGAGGCAGCAGGACCCCCGCCCAGAGGGAAGGACACACACCACGCAGGCCCTGAGAGCTTGTGCAAAGGCCCCGGGGCAGGCCCAGGCGTGGTCTCCTTAGACAAGGGAAGGAAGCCAGAGAGGAGGGGCAGGAGCCACAGGCATTAGTACCCAGATGGCAGAGGCCTGGCCACACACCGTGTCGCCCACACATCCCTAACACAGGGACTTCGCATCAGGCCGCCACGAGGTGCTGAGGGCCACACACGCCCACTGCGGGGGTAAGTCACCTCTCAGATGGCGTCTCTTTCGGACATCAGGCCCGGGTCACTCTGTGGGGCCGTCCTGGGCGCTGTGGGAGGTCAAGCAGCATCCCTGCCCCCCCCCCATGCCAGGAGCTCCCCCAGTGTGACACCCACAGATGAACCCAGACGTGGCCCGGGGTCCCCTGGGGGTGAGTCCTGGCTGGAGGACCCCGGGTTGGCCCCTGTCCTTCGCCGCCTGGGCCCAGACGGGGTCGGGGTGGGGGTGACGCCGGAAAAAACCACAGAGGCAACTTTTTCTGTTAAAAGTCAGAGTGTCTTGTCTTGTTTTAATATCTCATCAGCTTTACAGGGTTACAATTGTCTTAAATATTTCTGAAGTTTAAATACAATCTGTATAATAATGTTATAAAATGTAAACTTTCAGTGTTCTTTTAAATTTCAAAATCACACCTTTTTTTGTCTTTTTTTTTCTTTTTTGGTCTTTTTTTTTTTTTTTTTTCCCTTTTAATACCTGAATGTTCTGCAAAAACTGAAGTCGGTACAGGCCGCCCCGGCCGGAGGTAGAGAGTAGTTTATACCTTTTTCTTAAAAGTTTGGTTTTTTTTGTTTCCTTTAACCTGAGTTGGGGTGCCGGCCGCACGCCGGCCGACGAACCCCGGAGGAACTGAAATTTCACGTCAGGAATGGAAGCCGGGGGGGAGGGGGGGGGATGCAAAAGCGAAATTAAGGGGAAAAAGAAGGAAAGAAGTGGCAAAAAAGGATAAAAAGCAATAAAAGTGACTGTACAGATGCTCGACTCTTACATACGGACCCAGCCGCCCCCGCCCGACCAGTCAGGGCTCACACGGAAGATTCTAGAAGCAGCCCGTCCACCTGCAGCTCCGGAGCCGCCCTCCACCCTGAGTTGGGGGTCCCCGCACCCGCCCAGAGGCTCAGCGCCCCGCCCGGGAGGAACACGCGCCACCCCGGTTTGCATAAAGGGGCGCCGAGCCGCACCGGCCCCCCGGCCCCCCAGGAGGGGACAGGAGGGGACAGGCCCCAGGGGGAGCGGCTGGCAGAGGCGCGTCCCCTCCCGTCCCCATGGTCCCCGAGTGGCAGGTGGACCCACCCTGAGTCAGATCGGGGGGCCACGCGCCCCCCGGGCCTGTGACAGGCAACTGACAGGCCATGCGCCCAGGACAGGGGACCCGGGCGACCGAGAGGGCGCGGGTTTTGGCATCAAAATCAGACCTGAGGTAGAAGGACCCTCACGGCGAGGGCCCCCCCGGGCCCGGGTCCCCTGAGGGGTGGGGGAGGGAGGGGGGGACAGCTCTGGGGGGGGCCTGGATTGTGTCTGGGGACAAAAGGGTCCCCCCTCCCACAATGATTGTGCTGCTGCCACGAGAGGTGGGGGGGAGAGAACCTTCTAGAAGGAAAAACAGAGAGAAAAGCCCCACGCCCGTGCCACCCGCTCCTGGGAGGCTGGAGGGGGTGTGGACGACCCTGAGATACAACAAGGAAAGGGGTTCCCTCCCAAAGACACAGACGCCGGAGACAGGGGGGCCCAGGACCCTCCCCCAGGGTCCCCAAGGCAACAGGACGCCCCTGGGGCCCGAGGCAGGAGGGCGTCCACTGGGCCTCGTTAGGCCAGGCTCCCAGGGCCCAATTAGAGGTTCGGGGCCGCCCTGGGGACAGCGAGTTCACCGACCCCGCCCCCCCCCCCCCGAGGGAACGAGACCCAGCGAGTGAAAACGCACCACCGTGCAGGAGGCACAGCTCCACCCAATGCCACCAGGTCCCCAGGGACCCGGGAGGGCAGGGCGGCCAAGAGTCCTCAGAGCCCACCTGGGCCTGGGCCTGGGGACGGCCGTGCAGCCGGCCCGGTGGAGCCATTGCCAGGGCTGCCAACAATGCCTCTCCCGCTGGGTCACACTAACGAGGGCACCGTCACTGCAGGGAGCCGAGGCCCCGAGCGGAGGGACAAACTGGAGGAGACGGGACGGGGCCAGGGGGTGCAGGGTGCCGTGGCCCCAAAATCCTCGCCCTGAGCTAAGGCCGGCTCACCCCAGGTCCCATCTCGCCAGTCCCCACAAGGCCATGTGCATCCCTGAGACAGGGGCCTGGGGGCTGGGACCACGGGCCGGAGCCCCCCCCCATCTCCACCGGGTTTCAGCACTTTCTCCTTCCTGATTAAGACTGGGCGGTCCCTGAGGGGAGAGCCGGCACGAGGGCCGATGTCCCCGTCACGGCCACTCGGCACCCACGCCCCCCGCAGCACCTGAGCTCATCACCTCTGCTGGCTGCAGCCCCCCCGCCGCCCACAGGAAAGGCCCCAGCGCCCCCAAATCAGTCGTGGGAAAAATAAAAGGGGTATTCCGATTTTTCTCTTTTTTCTTTTTTTTTTTGCTTTTTCAAGTCCAGTTTCCCTGAATGAACACAAATATATAGATATATAGATATATATCTCCTTTTGCTAAGGTTTGATTCCTCCCCCGAGAATAAAATAGACTATTTACAAAACACAACCCCCAAGACCTCTTAAAAACCCTATAGAGTTCGAATATCGCTAGCTCTTTAAAAAAAAAAAAAAAAAAAAATTCCCAAAAGCAACAAGAAAAATAATAATAAACAAAAAATTTCAACCGATCTTGGCTCAGGGGTTCCGTTCAACACAAGGAGCCGGGTGTGGCGAGTGTGTGTGATGGAGGAAAAAAAAAAAAAAAAAAGCAAAAAAAAAACAAAACAAAAACCAGACAAAAATGAAAACGCACAGTGCAGGGATGTACGAGGTAAAGAGGATCAGACTGACATGGCAACTGGTCCAAACCGGACACCGGACTCCAGTCCGAGCGGGTCCCCCAGGGCCGCGGGAGCAGCCCCAGGGTGCGGACCCCTCGCTCTCTTCCCATTTCCTCCGCTTGCGGCCTGGACGTCCGAAACCTGAGTAATTCAAGTGTTACTTGGTCTCCCCCTGTTTTATTAAATTTTCTTTATATATATATACGTATATATTTCTTCTTCTCTCTCTCTCTTTTTTTTTTTTTTTGGTGCTAGCTGTCGCTCCTCTGCGGACATCTCCCCTCCCCACCCGTATCTTCCGCCATCCCAGCCGCCCCTCCCCCGTGTGGCCCACCTCGACCCCCTGTCCGGTCTGGCGGGGAGGGGGGGGGTGCTCCGGGGTGGGGGAGGCGGTGGGGAGTGGTTAAGGCAATGAGTTAGTTGAGGTAGAAGACGTGGCCGGTGTGGACGGCCCCGCTGGCCCGGCCTGGCCGCCCGCGCTGCCCCCGCCGCTGCTGTTCCCGCTGTTCCCTGCGCGGCTGCCACCACCGCCGCCTTTGCCGGGGGCCGAGGGGGGCGTGGGGGCCGGCGGCTGAGCGAACAGGACTCCTGGTGCAAGGACAGGAGGGGACACGGGTCACCGGATGACCGGACAGCGACCTCCCGGGGCCCTGACCCCCGCAAGGCCCACCCGCCGCCGCCACCCAGCTGCCCCGTGTCCACAGCGCCACCTGGCGGCCGCCGCGCGCACCACGCGCTGCCAGCGGAGCTTCGCAACATTGTTGCAAACTTTGCAACATTGTTGCATTTTAAAAACCCCGCTGACTGCGCTACATTGTTACCAGGCTCGAGGGCGGGGGGGAGGCCCTGGACGCCCCCCCCCCCCCCCAGTTAACCTGGGAGGACGGTGGGCGGGCCCGGGCGCCTACCTGTGTAGACGATCCCGTTAATCTCCACGGACATGCTAATACTGTTGCTGCCGTTCGTGCTGCTCAAGTTCGAGGCTGAGTCCTGGCGGCTCTCGGAGGCTGCGGGGACAAGAAAACCCGTCATCCGTCCTCCTAAAGGAGTCCGTGTGACCATCTGCATCCCGGCCGTCACCCTCGCCGGACTTCTAGCTCCGCCGAGGTGTGGACTGTGTCTGTCACCAGCGCACACAGTGGGTACTCCATAAATGCTTACTGAGCACGAATGCATTTGTCTAAAATTTGCTTTTTCTGTGATTATGTTCCCTCCTCCCCTTTTTTTTTTTTTTGGTGAGGAAGATTGGCGCTGAGCTAACCTCTGCTGCTAATCTGCTTCTATTTTATGTGGGACGCCTACCACAGCGTGGCTGATAAGCAGTGCGTAGGTCCAGGCCCGGGATCCGAACCTGTGAAACCCAGGCTGGCGAAGTGGAGCATGAACTTAACCCCTATGCCACTGGGCCGGCCCCTGATTCTAAGTCTTAAGAGATGTCAGCACACCCACATCATCTCACTCTTTATAATGGCCGCAAAGTGGTCCAGAGGTGACCCGTTCGTTCCGCCACTGATGGACACACACATTGCTTCAAGCCTTCACTATACATCCTCCTACGGTCACACGCCGCATAACGACCTTTCGGTTAACGGTGGAGCACACACCCCACAGTGGTCCCATGAGATCGAGACCACACAGCCTAGGTGTGCAGTGGGCTGCACCATCTAGGTTTGTGTAAGTGCACCCTGCAACGTGCACACAACAAAATCGCCTAACGACGCATTTCTCAGAACACGTCCCCATCGTTCTGCGACGCATGACCATGTGCCTGATATTATCAAACTCTGATGGGTGAAAAATTTCCTCCCTTGTTAGCTTGAAGATCCCCAACCAGACGGAGTTGAACAGCTTTGCATCTGAATTTACTAGTCACAGCTACCCGTTGCTTCCATTGGTTGGTCTGCCTTTTTTTTTTCTTATTGATTTCTAGGCACTCTTAACATATGTTGGCTCTGAGGCCCTTACTTTGTGACACAGGCAGGAAGCACGGAGTGTCTGGGTGCCGGGGGGTGGATACCTTGGCTGTTGATACGAATGCTCATGGGCAGCTGGGCTGTCATGGCCAGGAAGTTCTGCTGCAGGGCTCGCTGCATGAGCCGTTGCTGCTCATCGGCCACCAGGGCCATCTTCTTCTCAGGAGGCTCCCCGGACTCCAGCTTCTCCCGAAGCTGCTCCAACGCAGCCGCCTGAGCCGCCACGGCTGCCTGGGCTGCTGCCGCCTGCACCGCGGCCGCCTGGGCCGCCACCACGGGGTGGCCCGCCAGGGAGACTGGCAGGCGGCTGGGGACCGTGATAGGGATGGCCGAATCCTCCTCTAGACAGGGGAGAACAGGAGTCAGTGGCTGGGAGGGAACTGAGGTGGCCCAGCCCCACCTTCCTTCCGAGGCAGGAATGTGCACCCTCTTGAATACCTCCACCGATGGGGAGCTCACTTCCGCTCCAGGGAAGTGCATAGGCTTTTGAACAGACACAAGGCCTATAAAATCCTTCCTACTCTCAGGCATGATGACGGTAATACTGGCGAGGACGTAACAACACCGGTTGCAGTAACAGAACTATGGTAGTGGGTGGCGTTCGTGCCACCGAGAGAGCCCACAGCAGCGTCTAACACATCACATAGATCACTAGTTACGCCGAGGGCCCAACACGGCTCGTCTAGAGCAATTAACACGAATCACCTGGAGGGGCCGTCTCAACAACCCCAAGCCCACCCGGACACTCATCCCCATTTCACAGGGGAGGAAACCGAGGCCCAGAGAGGGCGGCTAACTTTCCCCAGGCCACAGAGCTGCAGAGAGGCTGAGCTGGGCTCGAACCCAGAACCCCAGAGTCGGCTCCTCCCCATTCCCCTTTTCCTCGGTTGAAACGAATGTCCCGGCTGTTCCCACACACCGGTCCCACTGGGACCCGCTGTCTCTTCTTCTCCTGACTCTTCCTCCCCCTTCTATCCCTGGACGCTTGGCGCTGCCTCTACGTGCCGGGTCCCCACTCCAACCTTCCAACTTTCGTGGCTGCCGGGCCCCCCGCTGTGGAGTTTCTGCACCGTCCTCCCCTTTGCCTCCCTCTTCCGTCTCAGCTGAAACGCCACCTCCTCAGGAGCCCCCTCGGACCGTCTCCAGCCAGCATCCCGTCACCGTGGACCTCCCACTGTTGCTTATCGCTTCCTGGGCCCCTCGTGAGCTCCCCGGGATCACAACCCCCGATTCTTCCCACCCCCGTCTTCCCCGGCTTCAGCACGGGTGGATCTCCATAACCACTGATGGGTATTCCAGGAACACCCAAGACTGGGGGGTAAACTGAGGCCCACAGAGGACCGAATGAGCTAAAGTCAGCGAGACCCCCTTCACCTCAGATCTGACCCAGTCCTACGTTTTCAGGGCACCATGGGATCAGCTCAGACCCTCGGGCCGACCCCAGGAAGCAGGGAGTCAAGTCACGGCCCGTGTGGCAGAGGAGACATGGGACCTCGGACCTGCGTGAGGCCAGCTGCCACGTGTGCTGTTGGTGCTTCTGTGTTAGGAAGGATTCAGAGGCTCAGCGGGAGAGAAGACTGTGATTGATGGGTGATGCCTGCCGCGGACGGGGACCTGGGACAGGGGTCTGTCAGGCATCTGCAAACCCAGGCCGGGGCCCGCCGGGCACTCTCCACCCTGACGGCTCCCCAAACTCTACAAGGAAGGGGTAACCCTCCCCCACTTTACCCACAAAGAAAGTGGGCTCAGAAAGGGGCGGTGGGCGCCCAGCACTAGCTCCAGGGACGGCCACGGGGTCGGGTCGACAGACCCACACACCCTCTCGCTGGCATCTGCTGGGGGCGTGAGAAGGATCCTAAAGCTCAGAGGGAGAGCGACACGGTGATCAACTAGGACTGTCTGTCACGGGCAAGGACTGGAAAAACCTTAATTAACGGGGACGCACGCTACCGCGATTGATTAGCAATGCCTGCCACAGCGTCAGGAAAGAGTACGGCACTCGATTAATAATGTCTGCCGCAGCGTGGACCCGGGAACACAGGGATTGACTAGTCATGTCTGCAGGGGGGGCATGAGACGGGAGCACTGTGCTCGATTTGTAATGTCTGCGTCGGAGCAGAACTGGAGAAAGACCTATTGATTAGTGATGTCTGCCAAGGGGTGGGATGGGGGGAATGGATTGATTAGTAATGTCTGTGTGCGGTGGGATTGGGGTTTGGAAAAATGGTGATTGATTAGTAATGTCTGCAGTGGGCACAGTGAGGGCAGATGGGCCTCCCTCCTCCACGCCAACCTGGGGGTTTCTCATCCTGGTCACCCAGAGGGGGGGAAAAGGCTGGAGGCGAGTCAACGCCCGGCCCCCAGCCCACGGCCCCCCGGCTGCCTCTTACCCTTCTTGATCTTGGGGGCCGGGGTGATGGAGCTGCCGTTGGTGCTGGCGGCCAGGCCCAGGGAGGACACGGGCAGCTTGGGCGAGGAGAGCATGCTGTGGGCCCCGCTCGGCGAGTAGGTGAAGAGCGAGCCCCCGAAGCTCTGGCGCCGGCCCTCCCGCCGGTTGCTGTCGATGGCGGCCTGCAGCTCGTTGGGGTTGCTGAGGCCCCGCTTCTCACACTCGTAGGGGTACAGGTACTTCATGTACCTGTGTGTGCGGGGGATGGGGGCAGTGAGGGGACAGGATGGCGCCTGGGACGTCACCTGTGGCCCCAAAACCCCGCCATGGCACCCCCTCCCCATCCCCATCATGCCGTCACCCGGGAATCACTTGGTGGCCCTCAGAGCTGTGGCCTTTGTTCATGCTGTTCCCTCCGTCTCAATGCTCGTCCCCACGACGTGGCCCCCATCCCCACAACAACCTCCTGCTTCATCAAGACTCAATTCGTGTTCTCAGGACTCAGACGTGTCACGTGGCCCCGTCGTGCCTCCGTGGTCTGTCCGGCTGCCCCTTCCCCGGCCACCCTGGGTCCTTCCTGCCTCAGGCCCTTTGCACGTGCCATGCCCTCTGCTCGGGACACCCTTGGGATCCCGGCTGGCGGCGGCGGCACTCACTGGGTCCGCAGGGTGAAGGCGGCGCTGGTGATGGAGGTGGGCAGGTTGAGGCCCTTGGTGATCTCCCGCCACAGCTTCTTGTTGATGACCTCCACCAGGCCGCCCTTCTCCGTCACCAGCACGTACAGCATGAACAGGTCCAGCACCTGCTTGGCCATGATGGGGATCCGGTTCACGGGCGTCCCTGCGGGGGGCACGACGGGGGAGGGTGAGGCGGGGCCGCTGGCGCCAGGGGCCGGGGGCCGACACCCAGCGGACGCCAAGTCCGGGGCTGACACGTCAGTCCAGAGCGAGGTCCCCCCGGCACTGTGACATCGGGCAGGTCACTCTGTGGGGCCGTCCCTGGCCCCACCCACTCGATGCCAGGGGCCCCCCCAGTGTGACACCCACAGATGTCCCCAGACGTCCCCCGGTGTCTCCTGGGGGCAGGGTCACCCTGAGGAGACGCCGGCTGCGGAGAGCACCAAGAAGGCGGCTCTGCCTCAGTTTCTCCATCGGTGACTTGGGCTTAGCACGGATCTCCCCGGGGGGTCAGAGAGGAGGGAGCCGCTGCGGGGCCACCGGGGTCACACCTGGGACGCGGCCCTGGTTATTGCTGCTCCGTCACCAAGAGCAACAGCCGCCAAAGCGCCAGCTCGGTCCCGGAGGCCGCTGCCTCCAGGCCCCGGGGGCCGCGCGGCCGGTTCATCCGCAGCCGGAGAGCGGGCGGGGGGCTGCCCTGGAGGGGGGCTGGCCCAGGATTGGGGGGCTGCCCCTCTTCCGCCCACCTGGGTCCCCTGCGCCCAGCCTGGCACACAGCAGGCGCTCAACAAACAGCAGTGTGGGCCGACGGCCCCCGAGGCCCCAGGCCGTGACCCGGGGGAGGAAGGCCCAGCTCGCCCGCCCCGGCCTGGACGCCGCCCCCTCCACCTCTGGACCCCGGCTCCCCGGAAGCCAGACATCCCACAACCACCTCCCGCCACCCCTGGCCGCTTCCGGGTCCTTCCTGGGCTGTCAAATCCCCAGTGACAACCTGGAGGGGACGGAGGAAGACGGACCTCAGACCCCCCCACCCGGCCCGAGTCCATCCTTCAGTCCAAGAGGGAGAGAAGAGAAGACAGCCAAGCGTCAGGGCCCACGCACCCTGAGCACACCTGCCCTGAACCCCTCCACCCTCAGCACTCGCCCTGAGCACACCCACCCTGAGCCCGCCCACCCAGGACACTGGCTCGGGCAGAGCCTGGTGGGGGGAAAGAACAGAGGGAATCACACCGAGATCCTCCGCCCTCGGGCCTCCCGTGCAGCCGCCGGGCCTGGACGGATGTTTACAGAAGGAGCGGGGGCTGGGCAGCCACAGAGCCCCATGGATGGAGGCCGGGCCGGGCCGAGGGGGCGATAAGGAAGGGTGGAGAGGTCGTCAAGGAAACGGCGGGAGGATGGGGGGCAGGCAGGACCCCTCCCACCTTTCCAGCCCCCGAGAATTCGGAGGATTCAGTTGGGGGCTTTTCCTTTGTGATAAGGAGGAAAAAGATTCCTTTCCCTCTGGAGTGACGGGGAAGCGGCCTGTGGGATGCAGGACGTGGGGCCCAGAGTGAAGGGGGGCGTCTGACAGACTCTCAGCCCCACAGGCCCCCAGTGACAGAGGGCGAGGGTCCAAGAAGATGGCAGGAGAGGGGACCTGGGAGCTGGGTTTTGAGGGATGTGTAGGAGTTTGTGATTCCTGCCCTCCAGGAGCACCTGGCTTGGCGAGGGAGGTAGAGCTGGACAGAGACCCTCAGCGCCCGGTGAGGCCAGGAACCAGACAGGCCCGACCGCGGCCCCAGCCTCACCTACACTCGGGGGCGGGAGGGGTCGGGCAGGTGTGGACGGACCGATAAAGCGGGCGGGGGAGGGTCCCCCTGACCACATGATGGGCAGCGGCCTGGCCGGGGCCTCGAGATAGCAGGAGAGGGGCCCCCCAGCCCGGGACGCCGTGTGGACGCCGGCGCGGGAGGGGTTAACGTGGCGGCTTCATCCCCTTCCGCCGCCCGGGCCGTGTTTACAGAAGCTGCGGGCGAGGGAGGGGCTGCGCGGCCTGGACAGAGCGGGGGGCTGGGCCTGCCGTGGCCCCGGACCCGTGCCCGCCGTCCCCACCCCTTCCTGCCTCTGTGCTCCGGCCGGGCGCCCTTCCCGGCCTCAGTTTCCTTCCCTGAACGGCGGGGACTGTCACCCCCCCATGGGCTGTCGGGGGTCAGAGAAGTGAGCCCCACCCTGCAGCGGGCGCTCGGGGAACCCCGTCCCGCTGGCCGGCAGGGCAGCCCCAAGCTGACCCCCGGCTGCCCCTTGACCTCTCGGGGTCCGGCTCACCCTGAATGTCCCCGAAACCCTCCAGGGCTGGGGCCCTGGCCTGTCTGGTGCCTGGGCCTCAGTTTCCCTACTGAGGACCCCCGACCTGGGGGGACTGAGGGTGGGCCGGGCCCAGTACACCATTGGTGCTCAATCAATGCGGGCCAGCACTCAGCATGTCTGGGGTGCTGCCACATGGTGGGGACTCTTACAGATGGGGAAACTGAGGCCCCTGGAGGGAGCAGAGGAGGGGCCGGCCGGGGCCCAAACCTCGCACCAGCGCCCGCAGGACCCCGTCTGCAGGCCACAAGGGCCGAGAAGCCCGCCCGGGACCCAACCCCGCTCCCCCCAGAGAGGCCGGCCCTGCGGTGGGGGGTCCTGGGAGCCAGGACTCTGTGGGACCCCACGGCCCCCGCATCTCAGCAGCCAGGGAGGGGGTCTGGACAGTCAGTTCCGGGCCAAGGAGCCCACTTAGACGCTCCAGGCCGGGCCGGGCCCCACCCCCGGGTCAAAAACCTCTTGGATGCCTCCAGCCACGGGGAACTCACTGCCGCTCTGACCGGCCGGGCCCGCTTCCCGCGACGTCCCGGCGGCCGGGCCTCACCTCGCTTCTGCATGAAGCTGAACAGGTCGTCCAGGAACTCCTTCCTCTTGGGGTCGCCGTCCAGTTCGTAAAGCTGCGGGGCGGGGGGGTGGGGAGGGGGCGGGACGGTCAGTCGGCACCGGGGCTCGGGTGCCGCGTCCACATCGTGCGGAGGGGGTGGGGGGGCCGACCGAGGCGGCTGCCGGCAGGGACAGTCCCGACCCCAGACCCCCCGGGACCCCCACCAGCGTCCAGACACGTCCCCCGATGCCCTTCCCCACCCCGAGAGACGGCCCCATTTGGCAGAAGAGGAAACTGAGGCACAGAGGGAGGCGAGGCCCGGCCTGTCGGGGTTCTCTGGGGTCCCGGGGGGCAGGGGGTCCCTGGCCGCGCCGACCGTCGGCTCCCAGGTGCTGGCGGGCAGGAAGTCAGCAGAGATAATTAGAGAGGGGAGTTGGGGGGGATCCGCCCAGGGGCCGCAGCTGAGCGCAAGCTTCAAATTAAGCTCCAGGGAAGGCGGCCGTGGGGGGCCTTGAAACCACCAATCAGCCCCGGCCCGGGGTAATCCGTCATCAGGGCCCAAGAATGAGCCAACGCCCAGCTCCGGCTGCACGGGACATGGCGGGGGCCTGGGGACGCGGGGTCCTCGGGGCTGGCCACCCCTCGGCCATCTTGCCCCTCCCTGCGCCTCAGTTTCCCCATCTGTGCAATGGAGAGAAAGTGGGGCCTCCGGGGGCCTGGGCCGGGGGCAGCCGGAGCGCAGACCTGGGTGGTCGAGGCCGGGCCTTTGTCTCGGCCGTGCCTGGCCAGGCCGGCCGGCCGCATTCCAGCGCTGATTTATGGCGGCCGGCGAGGGGGGAGGCCCCGCGTTTCCCGCGGCCTGGGGGGTGGGGCCTGCAGGTGGCTCTTCCCGGGGGGTGAGCCCACGAGGGGCCTCGTCCCTGCCCCCCGCCCCGTGCGCCCCGGGCACCCACACCCCACCCCGCCCGCCCGGCCTCCCATCCCCGAGCCGCTGGGCGCCCACTGCGGTCTGGTCGGTCCTCCGCCCCAGGGACGTCAGGACTGTGTCTTCCTGCCTGTGTGTTGACCTGGGCACACAGCAGTTGCCTAATCAATGCTCATTACGTGGCCGAGACCGAGACCAGACAGACTCATGGGGGCCTCGCCCGAGACGGCAGGTGCCCCCTGATTTTCGTCCCCCCGGAACCTCGGAATGGGGCCTCATCTGGAAACGGGGCCTTTGGGATGTTGTCGTCGGTTAAGATGAGGTTGTTTCAGATGAGCTGGGCGGCCCTCAGTCCAGTGAGGGGCGTTCTTTTTTTTTTTTTTTTTTTGCTGAGGAAGACTGGCCCTGAACTAACATCTGTGCCCATCTTCCTCTACTTTATATGTGGGACGCCCACCACAGCACGGCTTGCCGAGCGGTGCCATGTCCACACCCGGGATCCGAACTTGGGGAACCCCAGGCCGCCAAAGCGGAACGTGTGAACTTAACCACTGCGCCACCGGGCCGGCCCCAGGGGGCGTTCTTATAAGAAGAAGGACACAGGGACACTGGCGAGGCCACATGACCACGGAGGCAGGATCGGGGCGATGCAGCCACAGCCCAGGGACGTGGGGCCCCCGGAGGCCGGAGGAGGCAGGAGGGACCCCGGGGGACCCCGGCCCTGCCTGCCGTGAGCCCGGACATCCCGATGATCTAGGCCCCCGGGCTCACGGTCATCTGTTACGGCCAACCTGGGAAGCCCGTTCAGGGGCCGGAGAACCTCAGGACCCTCCTGATGAGGGGGCTCCACCCTGCCTGAACCCTCCTCCCTGGCCCGGCCCCCACAAGAGACCGCAGGGCCCCTCCTGCCTCAGTTTCCCCATCTTTTGGGAACAGTGCGTGACAGCTTCACCCTCGGTGCCTGGTAACCATTGGGACCCCCGTATTCCAGGTGGGGAAACTGAGGCAAAGGGTGGCAACCAGCTGCCCCGTGACCCGCAGGCAGAGGGGGCTGGCTCGGCGGAGGGGGGAGCCGTTAACCCCCAGGCCAAATGGTGGGCGGAGTGAGCGGGATGGTCAGACCCCCGCGGCGGGGCATTGTGCTGGGCCGTAAAGGGGGCCGCGCAGGGCCCCCAGCCGCGGGGGGAGGAGCGGCTTTAATGGCCGTTGCTGCGGGCGGCCAACAAAGCCAGCAGTAAAGGCCGCCCGACTTTATGGGGCTACGGCCCCAAGTTCCGCACCCCTGAGGGGCGTGTCCCGCCCGCCAGGCCCCAGGGATGAGGGAACGGTGTCGAGAGCCCCCATGGCGGTGTCCAGGCCCCCCCTGAGGGCACCAGGCCCGGCTGCCCGTCACCACCAGGCTCTCAGGTCACAGAGCTGGGCCACGCACGACATGTCGCCGCAGAGCCCCGGCCCCTCCACGGCTGGACCAGAGGGCGCGTCGGTGCTGCCAGACCTGGAGCCGCAAACCCGGGCTGGGGACGGGGGAAACTTCCGGAAACCCCTCCCGCGGGCTGAGGGCCAAGAGGAGCGGCCCACCCCGCCCTGCCCGCAGCCTGATTTCCCGGGCCGGGCCTGGGCCACTCTGACCACGGGGGTCTCGCTCCGGCCCCTGCCTGACCCGAAGACCCCACCCCACCGTGGGCCCCTCGCCCCGGCCGCGCTGCTCCTCAAACTGCCAGGCGCGTGGCCCCACCTCCCGGCCTCTGCGCTGGCCGTTCCTCCCACCTGGAATGCTGTTCCCAACTCTGCCCAGAACTGGACATACAGCAGTTGCTTAATAAACGCTCGTTAAAAGGACCTTGACTTCTCAGGGTGACATGGGCTGGACCGCCCGGCCGCCCCGAGTCCCAGGCGTGCCCCTGAGTGCGCGGCTCCCTTCCCGGGCGGTGGGCGGGGTCCCCGGGTCGGGCCCAGCTCCTACCCGGCTCGGCCGTGGGGGGCGTCTATCCCCCAGGTACCAAGGTCGGGCGGCCCACGTGCCCATCTTCTCGTCCCCAGCACCACCCACTTCACAGAAGGGGAAACCGAGGCACAGAGCACATGGGACTGACAGCCCCTCTCCGCCTCCCCCCCGACTCAGCAGCCAGAGGGACTTTTCCACGTCCCACCGGCCCCGCAGTCCCCCATGGCTCCCATCGGCCCCAGAGACCTCGCCTCTCACGCTGGCCATCGCCTCCCTCCACTCCAGCCACGGCCTCGTCCCCGCTTCCCCAGCCAGGCGTGACCGCCCTCACCTCAGGGCCTTTGCACGGGCTGTTCCTGCTCCTGAAATGCTGTTCCTCCCCCCCCTCAGCCCTGCCTCTGCTTTACCACCGAGGCTCGGCCGGCGCAGGGGTGTGGGGAGCCCCCGAGGGGGTGGGAGCCGCGGGCGGGGAGGGGGGTCCCCGGAATGGTGAGCATCTTCACCACCACGGCCGGGGTCAGCGGGGCGACAGTGCTGACCAGGCCAAGATGACCCTGGCGTTGTGGGGTCCCCCGGCCCAGCCCGCAGCCTGCAGGTCGGTCAGGAGGACAAGGCCCTGTGGCCACCGGCAAACCCTCCCCCAGAGGGCCCGGCACAGGTCGCGGCGCCACCAGACGCCCCAGCTGGGCAGCGATGTGGGTCCCCGGCAGCCGCGGGGGGAGCGCAGGGCGGCGTCCGGCCCAAGGCCGAGGGGCCCAGGCTGTAAAGAAACCGCCCTCCCGCCCGCGGGGCCCCAAGGACAACCTTTGTCCCCTTCACGGTGTCTGCTCGGGCCCCCTCCCGCCACCCCGGCGGCTTCAAAGTCCGTGGGGCCCCACCTCGGGACGGGCCGCGGCCACTGGGCCGGCGGGGGACCCGGGGGGAGGCGGCCGTCCCGGACGGGACCCAGATCGGGGCCAACGCGGAAACGGCAGGGACGCCCGCGGACGGGAAGGCTCTGGGACGGCGCGCTCGGCCCATCCGGCATGGCTGACGGGGACCCGGGGTCGTCCTCCTCCACGGGGACGTGTCTGCCACAGCCCGACGGGCCCCCACGCCCCCCCGGGGCCGGCCTGGCGACTCCCACGGCTGAGGGTCAGAGGGGACAAACAGATGGCACCGCGGGCGGGGCCTCGGGGCCGGAGCTCGAACCTCACCTGCTTCCCTCCAAATCTTTAGGAAGATGTTTATGGAGGTGAAATTCACAAAACATAGAATTCACTTTTTTTTTTTTTTTGGTGAGGAAGATTGGCCCCGAGCTAACGTCAGTTACAATCTTTCTCTATTTTATGTAGGACGCTGCGATGGTGTGGCTTGATGAGCGGTGCCAGGTCTGCGCCCGGGATCCGAACCTGCGGACCCTGGGCCGCTAAAGCAGAACATGAGAACTTAACCACCGTGACACCGGGCCAGTCCCAGAATTCACCATTTTAAAGCGTACAGGTCAATGGCATTTAGTATATTCACAACGTTGTGCAACCAGCACGACTATCTCATTCCAGAACATTCCAGAACATTCCATCACCCCAAAAGCAGCCCCGTCCTCATCAACAGTCACCCCCACCCCCCCCCCCAGCCCCTGGCATGTGCAGCTTTGTCAGGGCCTCGCTCCTCTTCACGGCTGCGTAATAGTCCAGCGTGTGGATGGCCATGCGTGTGTGTGGACACGCGTGTGGGTGCACACGTGTGTGTCCATCCTCGGTGGACGGACATCTGGGCTGTTCCACCTTCTCAGGATTCATGCGCCGTGAATCGTGCTAAGAGCTCGAGTGTCTAATCGCACCTATTTCTCCCCCTTTGGGGTTTTGGACGAGAACTGATTCCTCGTAACCTGTCAACAGAGTGAAACTTCGAGAGACAAAGTCGAGAGGTCGGCTCAGCCGGTTCTCACGCCCGACCCCCCCTCCCAGAAACACTCACAGCAACAGGGGCGCTGCATCAGACGACAACGCTTCCTCCTGGTGGCCTCCCGGGGTGCCGGGTCCGAGGGGCTTTAAAATCTTTACGTCAAGATCAGGCTGTGTGCCCCCTGCTCAAAAGCCACCTGTGGCTCCCTATTGCTCTCAGGAGAAACCCCAAACTTCCAGGCAGCTGGTCCCCTGACTACGTCTCCAGCTCGTCTCCTGCTCACTCACTTCACTCCAGCCACACGGGCAGCTCGCTG